GGGTGCAGGGGGTTGAGGGGGGAATTGTGTGAATGTAAAGGCAAATCACCCTTTTGAAGTAATGCAGAGCAGGTGAGATCATTAGACTTTCAAAAATAAGGTGGCCCTCCAGTGTTTAAGCTGCCTGTCATGGGTTCAGGAGAAATGACTCTAATCCTAAAGTGGAACCATCTCTTCATTGTAGGCTTCTATCAGAGGAAGGTCTTTCGTTGCTCTTCCTTAATTTCTGTCAAGGTACAGTTTTAATGTTTCTGTCTTTGAAAGGTTGGAAGTTAGTGGCCTGCTCATTATTTTGTTCAGTAGTGAATGCTTCAACTGATAGTTGTCTAGAATCACCAGAGCTGATTGTGAGTTGCTAATGAGCTGATTAAAAAGTCTGAAAATGCTTCTTAGTAGAATATAAGTCTTGCTTTTGTTTTTCATTTGTGTTTCATAATGGGTAAGTTATGAGGTCTAAAAGTTTCTTAAATTATTTTTATGTATGTATTTTCATTATACATAAATGAAACTATTTAAGTTCTTCCTCCCTCTCCCTTGCTAATCTTATGAGAGATTCTACATTTTTCTTGGAAATTGTTATTCAGATGGACACGAAGAAAACTAGTCAAGACATTCCAGGCATTTATTTTAATATTAACTTTAAAAAGTTAATTTTAATTTAATTTGAAAACGTGTTAATGAAATGGCTATCTAAAATTCCTTTTACTTTGCAGAGAAAGTGAAAGTTTACAGGTTATTAAGATGTTGCCTCTTAGTAAATCTCCTTACACCTTGGTTTTCTAATCTAGATGCCTATAAAAACTTAACCTACAGGGAATATAAACAAACAGGAGAAACTTAAGCCAAACTAACAGAATTCTCAGGATATCCTCATCAGTGACCATGAGCTGCTGCCTCCTCCCCCTGTGCTTGGTTTTCATCTTGATTAATACAGATGAGTGCAGGAGATTCAGTGGGGAACTGTTCACATCCATGTAGAACCAATTGAAATGTTTTATGAATAAAAGGTATACATTAAATGACAAATTTGCCTTGACTTGTACTATATGGGTTATAGAATAAATGAAAAATGAAAGGCTTTGTTGTTTGCCATGGTGGGAATAATGTAGCCATTTTATACCTTACAGTTGTTATGTAATATTTCTATTCTGGTTAGACAGCATTTTATATTGATCAGCAGTCTACACGACTATGTTATTCCTAAGTCCAAACATTTAGAATTCTTAAGGGGGGAAATCTTCAGATTCGTTAACAGAAACTCCTGACTTTTATTTGAATGTGAAACTGTATTCTGAATTTCTTCAAGTTTGGAGTGTACTATGTCATGTTTAAGACCACTTCTAGAAAGTGTTTCTGGTCTTCAGAGGTGTAAATGAATTTTTGGAGTGTGTTTTGTGTTTTGGTTTGGTTTTTTGCAATGAAATGAGGAGGCTTTTGCAATGAAATGAGGTGGTACCTGTTACCCAAACTGTAAGGAAGATGATCACTAGGAATAATAGTCTTGTGACAGCAGTGACTCCAGTGAACTTGAATATAGAACAATACTATTTCACAACAACAAAACATGTCTCCTCTTCATACATTGTTCTGATTCAACAGATCAATTGAAAGGGTTTCTCTCTTTGTTGTACCCTTGCTTACTGTAGCCACTAGGATGCTTAAGTCTGAATTATTTTTTTTTTATTGGAAGAATAACTGTAGTGTTTCTTTGTGTGCTTGCAATCACTTATTTTTTGATTTAGCTTTCTGTAGCTGGGGTGGGTTTCACCTAGAGCAGAAATGAAAAGCATTATGCTTTTTTTTTCTCTAAACCCAATGCCTTGAGGATTTCATTTCCTGAACTACTTCAAAAATATGTTTATTTCACAAGACAAAAGCAAGGTGTTATCGCTTAGCCCTAACACAGAATTGTCTGAGCAAGTCAAAGTACAGCGATGCACCACAGATCATGACCTCTAATTCTCTTTTCTCAGTAATTTCAAACTGTTCTTGAGAGTACCGTATCCACACAACCCTAGCAACATGGCCATTCAGCTTTTTAACACCTCTTTCCCCATTTAATCTTACTCATTGCTTTCTTTTGCAGATAAGGTCTTTTTATTTTTCATTGTTGCCTATCTAAAAGTTGTTCTTTAGCTTAAATAATAACATATAGTTAAGATATTGTGGGTTTTCTTCCAAATTCCTTTCCATATTCAATAATTTTATGTTCAAAAATGGAAACGATATTTTTGAAATATTTACCTCCTGCCATTACAGAAGTTTATCATGTAGAATGCAAAAAGGAGCTGATGGAAAGAAAATGCTTTTGGGTAATAACTTGGGTCTTTGTTAATTTAGTAGTAATTCTCATTTAGATCTGGGTCTATCTCCAACTGCTCAGAACTGTTGTACAGAACAGAGTAGGATTACCTGGTATTGATTGCATCAGAATTCAGAGATCCTCAAACTTTCTTTTTTGTGCTTACTTATGGTCTTCCCAGTTTTGAGAGTTATTTGTGTAGCAGCCTTCCGAGAGAATGCATTGTCCCCAGGTACCTTCTTCCCAAGAACATATGGAGGAGATGCTAGGAGCACAGCAAGGACTGCATTCAGGAGGTGTCTGAAGCAGGGTTTCAGGAATAGAGTAGCATGGCTGAAGGGTTTTTTATGGAGGCAGTAGGCAGAAGAAGCAGCAGGATCTTTAGGATTTTTTTTTTTTTTTTGCCCAAGGTTATTGGTTTATGGTGAGGTGTTGAGTGTGGGGTTTAGTTGGTGGGTGCGGTGTTTTTGGTGGGCATTTGGTGTGGTGTGTTTTGGATTTTTTTTTTTTTTTTTGGTCAGGAGCTACTGCTTTGAGTTACTGTTTCTCAGTGAGGGCTTGAGACGAGGCAGTTTTATTTGGAGAGCTGGGGGCCTTTGTGTTGTTACCAGCAACTGTTTTTGTCTTGGAAGACTTTAACTGTCTTGTGGCACTTCTGTGTTCAAATAGGTGTAAAAACATTGAGTTTTAAGATAGAGTTGCAATGTAGGCTGTTAAAGCAGTGGCCTGTAAATCTTCTTCTGAGCAAGCAACAGTGAACCAGCTCTAGATAAAGCTTAAAATGTCTCTATTTCCAGCAGTTTTAATTTCTCTTTCCTAAACAATGCTAGCTGTTAATCACTGTACTTAGACTTTGTGTGTGTTTATAAATGTGTAGATGTATAAAGATGCATATGTACATTCACATGTGAGCCTCTATCTCTTTTTAAAGGGTAAAATGGGTTCATAGAAGATTAAAAAATAGAAAATAATTAATTTTGGTAAAACTAGGAAAGATTATGTATCAGTGAGGATGAGATCTATTCCAACTATAAAATTAGAGAAATGGATAGCAGGGGTGGAGGGAGGGGATATAGTAGAATAATAATTGGCATTGAAGAAGAGTTTTATTTTGTCTCCATAGTATTACTAACAACTCTTCAAGTGTCCAGAAGGTGTACGTGCTTGTGTGGGAGTTAGGGGCATCGGACAGAATTGTGTCAGGCGGGGAACTTCTTTTCTCTCAAATAATCAACGGATTAAAAGCGCAAGAACCCCTGTGTTGAAGTTGTGGTTCTTTCATGTGTGATATTGACAGACAGGAGCTATACAGGGCATCTTGTGGTGGTAGAAGGCAAATATGAAATACTCCTATTTTTTTAAGACTGATTTGGTCCAGCTGCAGAGGAAACATTGCTGGGGTGTATGTTTAGCATCTTTGGTGTTTTTTGTTTCATGCCAGCTGTATGTGGCCACTGAAGCCATCCTCATTGCATTGGTGGGCGCAACTCCTCCCTACCACTGGGATCTCCAGGAGCTCTTAGCTAATCAGAGCCATAGCAACCAGTCAGCGAGCGATCAGAGAGCTTTTGGGGAATGGCTTTTGACTGCCAATGGCAGTGAGGTGCATAAGCACGTACACTTCAGCAGCAACTTCACGTCAATCGTCTCTGAGGTAAGTCTGAAACACGTTTTGCTGCCTTGTGTGTGAGTAGTAAATCTTACTGGGTCACTTGTGGGGGACTGGTTGTACTCCTCCTTTCTCCCATGCAAATGCAATTTTTGATTAGCAAATGAAACAGGTGCCACCTCCAGGTAGAGAACAGGTAGTCTATTCAACTGGCAACAAAAACTAGCTTTATTTTGTTATGTAGATCTTGATGGAAGTTCTGCACCAAAACTTCCCACCTTTTCCATGTGGAAGTTCTTGGATCCTGTTGCCTGGTTCCACAATTGTCATTCATTGTATGAATGTGCTCAAAATCCTTTATGGAACCTGAGCTCTTTATGGCCACCTCTAGTGGTTTGCTAAGGTCAAATGTGTGTGCTGCATCCATCATGCAGTTAGCAAGCAGTGGAGGAACTGGAGAGGAAGTGGCTTCTGCGGTCTTGCAACTCCAGATATGAGGGAAGGAATGGGCAGTGGAGAGTCAGGTGAACAAAGCAACTCCCCCCTATTCTATCTGAAAACAAGCTATAGCTTTGTTGGTGTGGCCTTGGTGTTTTATAAGTGTCATCTTTCATGGTCTTAGCCACAGTCCCTACAGAAATGATTCCAGACTGTGCTGATGTGTGCAACACCTGCCCTTCCTGGAGCCTTCAGTATCTGTTAATGTCAAATTGTTCTGCGCAAGAGCCCTGTCCAACTGCATCTGTTACAAGACCTGAATTTAGAGCTGTACAGTTGAGTCAAGTATAGTACCCCTTGATATAATTCGTGCCTATTGTCCAGAGGCATTAATAGTATAGGAATTAGTCCTGTAAAGCACTTAACTTTATTGGTTATGAGTATATTAATAAAAACTGCCAGCTTTGGAATTGTACCAAGCAGTTGTGTACAATGAGCATTGCTTCTTATTCTGGTAATAAAAAGGATATGAGTATTTATGCCACTATTTAAATTTAAATGCTAAAGGATGGTGGATTTAAAAAGCATTATTTAAAGCTCAGCAAGGTTTTCAAATTTTCTCCAGGCTCTTTCTTTTTTGCTTTTTAATTTATCCAAGAATCTTCTATTCACTTAAACTTGACAAGTCAGACATGTTTCTAGAGCCTAGCAGTGGTTTAGGACGTAAACTCTCTAAAGATTCTGATGCATTCTAGTTGCATGGGTAAGAAATGCAGGTAAAGAATGAAATTTATTTGAAAAATACAAAATTAAAAAAACAAACCCAAACAAAACTAAGGCAACTTGTGTAGATTCTGCTTTTATGTTCTTTAACATACTTCTCAGTAAAGGGCCATGTGTATAAAATCTTATTGCCTCTCTTTTTTCCCACTGTTAAAATTCAGGGTTTTTTTCAAAATTTGTTAGGTGAATGTGTGTTTTTGGAAGTGGAGTTATGTGCTAAATATTAGTGATACCACACTTAGTTGGGGAATATCTGTAACTTTCTAATTTCATTTCTGATGTGTAAAGAAGCTTTTTCTACATTTAAGGAGGATATTTTTTATGCTTATCTTATGGCATCACTTACTAATAACATGATCATTGCAAATTTACACTGCAAAATATTCTGATGTAAAAAACCCTTGATTTATGAATATCAGGCATATGTATGTAACATGCTTTATGTATAAGAGAAAAGCCTTGGACCCTTTAAAAGGCTTCTTAGCTGTTGAGATTAATTTGCAGAACAAATTTTGCTTCATGGCCAAATTATCCCTTAATCTCTGAATGATTCAGAAAGCATCTCATGTCACTGAGCTTCAGTGTTGGCAGCTTTTTAAATTCTTACTCCAGAAGTTAGGGTATGATCCTTGTAGCTATTATAAAACAATATGACTGTGTTATTTTAAGATGAAATTAATCTAGTATGCTATTATTATACAAATATATTTTTGGGGAATTGTTTTTAAATTCTAGGGAAGCTTCAGAAGCTGATTTGTGGTCACATGGACCACAAAATTGAATTTTGTAAGTCTTGACGCTTTATGGGCACATTACCTACTGTATCGGTAAATACCTCACCATTAAAGTGACAATTCAAAATGAAGCATATACTGACAGTAACCAAGTTATTTTCTTGGAGCTTCTGAATGATTTTGTTTTGCTAGCTCCCTAATCTTGGTGAGATTTAATTGCATGGCTCTGCTCTCATGGTGAGATATTTTATAACTGAGCTTTGAAATAATACAAGCTTTGCTAGAAAGGATATCTAATGGGGTTTTGGTAGAGGAAGAGAAGATTAGGAGGAGAAGATTAGTGTGCTATTGCAGGGATAATGACATAATCACCAGTTTACCAGCATGGGAAGAAAAGTTGGGTGTCACTAAGAGGAAATGTTATCTCAAGATGCAAGAGGAGTAGAAAAAGAAAAGAACACAAGATGTGGAGTTCTTAGAATACAAAAGGAAATAAATTTTGAACAGTGAGAGCATGGCATATTTTCGTTCTACAGTTTTGTGAGAGAGAATTTTCTGTCATGTTGAACCTGATACATTAAGTCTCTAAGAACCATACATATGAAGATCAGGTTTTGGTTTGGAATTGAGAAAAATTGGAAATGACACAAAGTAGACTGTAAAAAAGATGAGTATTTGCAATACCAGAAAACCTGTCTAATGCTACCAAAGTGTTTCTCAATGACAAGACAGTTCATAAGGAGGAACATATGCATGATTATCTTTCAACGTAAACCACAATTTTTATTCTTGCATAGAATGCCTACACAATACAGTGACATATATCAAGAGGTAGGACTGAGTCTATTTAAGCTAATAGATTTGTGTGAGGCACTAGAAGGGAGAATGGGAGAAGACTGCAAAAATTGCAATATTCTGAGGGATCTGTCCTTGATTTCAGAATCAAAGACTGCATATGATTTGGGGGGATTGTGCAACTGGTTAGTACCACCTGGTGAATCTGAGAGACAGCAATTGTATCTTGGTGACTATTTGATTACTGACTGCATGTGATGCTTAAGAGATTTCTGCAAAGTTTAGTCTTCCTTATAGTATGTGTCATTCCCCTCCAACTAGTAGCTTGTTGAAGTGCTTGAATTCTGGTTAATTACCCCTTTTTTTTTTTTTCCCCTCCATCCAGTGGTTTTTAATTGGCAACACATCATACAAAGTCAGTGCTGCCAGTTCTTTCTACTTCAGTGGTGTGTTTGTTGGAGCAATCTCCTTTGGCCAGCTCTCAGATCGCTTTGGGAGGAAGAAAGTCTATCTCACAGGTAACCACTGCCATCTAACAAAATAAATGAAGTGGAGGTGTCATTTCTCTGAAGATCAGTGAGAAGAGTCCAGTTTCTGCTGAGAACTTGATGCTCAGCAATCAAGAATGGACCATGATTTTTATTAATTTTTTTGTCCTTCCAGTGTACTTCAGGAATATAAGTAGGGACCAGAAATTAATACTTGACTGTTCAAAGTGTTCTGGATTTAGGAATTGTACCATAAGAGCTTACACTCATGCATGTCATGCTTGTGGGATCTCCACAGGTTGCGCTTAATATTTGCAAGTAATTTGTTAGCAATGTTCTTGCATCTAAAATCTGCTAGGAATTTGTTGATTTCATTTTTATGTACTTGTGATCCGATTTGTGCTTTAAAGCTCATAAGCATTTTTTACTGTCCCCGAATCGAACAACACTTGGAACCTTGTGTTTTGCGTATGTACTTATAAAGTTGGGTGGCACTGGATGAGTATGTAGAATTAAAAAAAAAAGGGTTGTGTGTTTTTTTTTTTTAAAGGAACAACCTCACTCAAAGCAGATAAAGGTGGGCCTGATATGTAGTGCAAACTCCCAATGTACTGTCCCCTAGTAACACTTCTCTTTAGTCTTTCCAAGAATGATGGGAGATATTTGGTCATATATTTAAATCTGTGGATTCCATGTGAGGTTAAATATCAAGCCATCTTAACTGGAGCCAAACAATAGTTCTGAGTTTGTGGAAAAAATTGTCTGCCTGAATTTGAAGCATTAATCCAGCAAATTATGTATCAGAAACCACTCCTTTTCTATCACCGCTTTTATGATATTGACTTTAGGTACTTAAATTTCTGCCAAAACCTGTGGTTTGTATCAGTGTGTTGTAGTTGTTGACTGTAATTACTCAGGACAAATGCTACTGAACATCAAGTAAAGATGCTGATAAATGCTTCTGTTTTTCTCTAGACACTCTTCTGAAATGAAACCTTTTGCTTTGTTTTCCAGGTTTTGCCCTAGACATCTTGTTTGCCATTGCAAATGGATTCTCACCTTCATATGAATTCTTTGCCATCTCTCGGTTCTTGGTAGGAATGATGAATGGTGGGATGTCACTGGTGGCCTTTGTTCTACTGAATGAGTGCGTGGGTACTGCCTACTGGGCATTAGCAGGTAAAGTTTGAGTGTCAGTGTCTTTGTTGTGGGAATTTGTAGATTTCAGTCTCAGGTACCACTTGAGACATACCACAGCTAATGCCATATTCAAGGTTCATGATAGCTGAGCTCTAGCCATCAGAATTTTGGACTCTGCTAAATAGTGCTTAGTGGTTGTATGCGAAAAATAAATTCTTTCATTCCTGGCAGTTCTCAAAAAAATCAAAAGTGGTTTTTATATAATGGGAAGATGAGACAACTATTGTTTATATGTTAAAAAAGTAGTCCTATGTGGCAATCAACCTTAGAACTTGGAACAAAAGGTACAGGCATCTTAACTCTCTTGGTTGTTAGTGTTGAAGCTGTCCTTCAGATATCATGTGTATAAATTGTACTATTACAGCTCTTGTGCCTGACTTACCCAGTCTGTGACAAGTGCCAGAAGTGCTAGGCTGGGATGGTTTTGAAACAGGGTGTCTTAGAAATCACAAGAGCTACAAATGACTACTATATATTCCTAAAAATGCCCATTTTCCAATGGTTTGTGGTATTTATTTTTACACGTAGAAAGCCAAAACAGATTTGGAATTGCAAGACTTAATTGTTTATGGGGCTTTATTCGGTGAAGAGAATGTAGAATGGTGCTTTTTGGATGTGTATTGATCTTTGCAATTAGATGTAATACTTCTGCCCTGCATGGGTGAGGAACAATGTTCTTTGGTCAAATAGCTGTGGTTTTGCCTGTATTGCTGAGTGAATCGTTCTTAATGTTAGTTTGTCTGTTCCCATCTGTTGGGAGTTAATAATGTTCCTTAAAAGAGTGATAATGTTTTGTTTTGTTTTGAATCGTATATTAGGATCTATTGGTGGCTTATTCTTTGCTATGGGAATTGCCCAATATGCTTTATTAGGCTACTTCATTCGATCCTGGAGGACTCTGGCTGTTGTGGTTAACCTGGAAGGAACCATCGTCTTTCTTCTTTCTCTGTAAGTTATTTTTCAAAGTGAGTTTCATCAAGAAAGATGTCAAAAATAATAGTAATTTAAAAAAAAACTAAATAGAAACAGAGAACCCCAAAAACAAAACCAACAAACCAAACAACTGAGTCAAGGTGCTTTTTCAGGATGGTATGAAAAGGTGTAACTGTGTTTACCTCTACCATCCCACATTCTGTGCCTTCTTTAAATAGCAGTGCTGCAGTATTTGAAAGTGTAAGTGTACGTTGTATTGTATATGCATTGTTACTGTAGATGGGAACAATCTCTAGAGTGGTGTAGAAGCACATCCCATCCCTGGAAGTGTTCAAGGCCAGGTTGGATGGGGCTTTGAGCAACCTGGTCTAGTGGAAAGTGTCTGCCCATGGCAAGGGTTTGGAACTAGATGATCTTCAGTGTCCATTCCAACTCTAACCATTCTGTGATTCTGTTCTTTAACTGGTATAAGTAGATGATCTAGACTGTTGTGTGGCATGCTACAACACACTATATATACATGTTAAGATACATACATGTTTTTGTGGTTATGTGATACAATGTTTCTTTTATAAATGTGGTTACACGGAAGGAACAGCATTGAAATTGCTTGCACATACAGTCTTAAAGGTGACATGCAAAAGAAAATAGGCAGCTTCCTTTTTATTTTTCAAATATGATTAGGAAAGAATAGAAAGAAGGCTGCTTTATTAAGATAGGAGTGTTGTGTTTGTGGAATTCAGCACTGAAAGCTGTCTGATGCAATGCGCTCTTATATATTTCCTAACAGCAAAACTTCAAAGTGAAAAAAGAAAATAACTTTACCTACTGTTTAAACTTAAGGCTTTTTTCCTTCCAACATCCGTTTAACTTTCGGTAACTAATTTTCTGAATAAAGCTCTTTGCTAAAGAGTCAACGCAGCCTTCCAAGGAAAGGCCTTAGAGGCTGTTCATGAGGTGAACAGCAGAGATGACACCGATATTTCAAAACTTAAAGTGGTTTGGGGGCCTTTGGGGAAAAAAACCCAACTTTTTCAGATTGATATGTACAATTTTTTTTTAAGTGGGACTTCAGAGCTGTGTTCAGAGGCCTATCTTCCTGTAATAAAGGATTTTTTTATTTCAAATTTCACACTGCCTCTCTCCCACATTGCTTTAAAATTACCCTGTGCAGAAAATGCTATCAGATTGTTTTTATCATGGGGAAGAAAACATGTTCCTTTCTAAGCTCTGTTCCTTTATAAAACCACAGAATCATTTTCCTTTAAATTTAAAGGAAAAATGTCACTTCTGGTCAGGGGCAAAAGTCTTAAAGACCTTCTGGCAAAAGTCTGAAGTTTAAATTAGTTTGGGGAATCTGAAAGTAATATAAGACGACTTAGTTTTTAGGCTGTGATGGAGTTACAGACCTATCAAGTGAACAGTGCACACGAGGAGCAAGAGCATGACCTGTACACAGCCTCTGACTTCCCATCTACAGGAGAGAATTTGGGGGGGAAGTTGGAAAAGGAGGAACAGAGGACAACTAGTTAGTTTTACAAAAATATCCTTTAGTTACTTGTAGTAATGTGATGCATCTTTAATTCTGAAATCTCCTAAGAGAGTCCTAATGATGTTGTAATTTATAGTATTGTGTGTGTATATATGTATATGTGGAATGTAATTTCTTGGTATCTAAATTACATATGACTTATGTTCCCTTTCCTTTTAACATGCTTTGTATTTATTTCAATAAGTGAATTCTATACCTGCAGGGCTGTTTGAAAAATTCATTGTCATACTGAAATATATTTCAGCCTTATTTCCAGAGACAGGTCCAGCCTCATAGAAGAGAAAAGCCCTAAAGCTGTCTGTGTCTGTATGTGTTTCAGATTCATTCCAGAGTCCCCTCGCTGGCTCTATTCACAAGGCCGGCTGAATGAAGCAGAAGATGCCCTCTACCTCATCGCAAAGAGGAACCGCAAGCAGAAGTGCACTTTTTCATTAAAACTCCCAGCAGAAAGGACCTCCAAAGAGGCTGGCAGCTTCTTGGATCTGTTCCGATACAAGATTCTCTTGGGACGCACCTTGATCATGATGTTTACCTGGTACTTAAAATACGTTGTAGACCCAGCTGTGCTACTGTTGCCTCTTTAAGTGTTTGAGAGAACATGTTGCTGAGAATTGGCTTGTCCTGCAGATTGCACTTAGTCTCAGCCTGTATTATTAGGGACACTGTACCTAAAAAGAATCCTTGTATTATAGTATTTCCTTGGTGAGTTTCTAATATGAAGCCATTTTTACAGTTTAGTTCTGAGGCGTTTTATCTTTGCATTTGTCATGCTTTTTGAGTCTCAAAATAGTTGAGAACTATCTCCTTCTGGCCCTCAAAGGCTGCTGAGGTAAGTCAGGGTGTCCTCCTCTGGCCCAATGCTGTGTGTCAGTACTTCTGTTCACATGGATTATTCTTTGTTTTGTGTGTAAGGAGGCCATTAGCAGGTGGGTGGCCTAGTTGTCCAATGAGTGCTTGTTTTCTTAAGAAAAAGTGCTGCCAGTGCTAGCAGTTGCTGAGGTAAGGAGCAGGAACACATGATGGGCATAGGGAGCAGAAACTACCTCTAGTCACTAGCAGAAATTTAACTCTCCAAAAGTGACTATTCTGTTTCAGGTAACTCTGCCAGCCCTGAGGTCTTTTTACTGCCACTTTGAAATAAACCATATGTATGACACAGAATGTGAGTCCTCTGGCATTAATGTTCATACAGGTGCTTTTATAATGCATATATTTGGGGAAAAATATATTAAGAAAAAAACAAATGGTGTTACTTTGTCAGTAGACAACACAGAGCTGTTTGGCTCTTGATTTTGCAAATGCTTAATGTAGAATAGTTAATTCCTCTGTTCCTTAAATTGCTGATTTCTTGCAGAATGAATTAGTGATCTGTTGCTTTCCTCTCTGTAAAGAAAACAACCAATTAGGGTTTCAAAAGAAAAGTTAAAAAATTAGAATTGAAGAATGAGTAAGACTAGACTAGGGTGTAGAAATTAAAAGAAGGCAGAAGTGTCATCTGAACTGTTTGAGAGGGTCTACACACAATTGGAAAAGCATGGACTAAAGTGAAACCTGATGAAAACAATGAAGACATAATTTCTAAGGTCAAATAATATAATCATGATCACATTCTAACTTTATTCTGGCTTATGCACATTCTTTTTAAGTTTGACTGAGTAATAAGCCAGGAATGGGGTCTGTGTAGAGACAAAATGGTTTCTTTACCTAGAAAGTATCATGCACTGGCAGAGAAACTTTTTAGACATATCTTCTGAAACACTACATACAGTTTACAGTGTATTGTGCCAGAGCAGTACTTTGATTTGGCAGGCAAAGCAGCACCTCTGATTTTCATTCTCTTTCTGTCTTTTGCAGGTTTGTGTGCAGCTTGGTTTACTATGGTCTTACCCTTAATGTGGGTGACTTAGGTGGAAATATTTATGCCAATTTAGCCCTTTCGGGGTTGATAGAAATCCCAGCATACCCAATCTGTATTTACTTAATTAGCCAAAAATGGTAAGTATGACATTTATTAACCCATTCAGGGTTTTGTTTTGTTACAATTGTTCTCAAAGATAGGTTTCCTATACATTGTCTCCTAGCTTTTATCTGTTGTGTGAGCCTTCCCGCTTCAAGGCTACTACTTCATTATTTTATCCCGGGAAATGTATTTTTATTTGAAAGTGCCATTATTATATCTTTATTTCAAATAAAAACAGTTAACTTATTCTCAGTAGCTTACTTATTAATGAGCTGTCTAAATTTGTCTGAGGTGAGGCTGATTGCCTGTATCGACCAGAGCTAGCTGTGCTGACTCCATGCTAACGCAAGATGGCGTTCTTCCCACCTCGCTCTGTAATGCCCATTCTTGCTGTTTTGTCAAAGCTATTGCAACTAAACTCAAGTGAAGCTGTCGTGTGGTTTCGTGTAAGAGCTGGTATGTGCACTAGTATGTGAACACAGCTGTTGATTCAGATTTTTAGCCTTTTCCTTTAACCCATGACACTCCGGACAATGTCTTTCACTTTTGTAGAATTCACCTCCCAGTCTCCTATCTGCCTGTCTCCTGAGGAGTTTTACAAACATGCACACGCAGTGGGAAGCAAATCAAAATCCTAGAAATTGTGTTAGCTGCTGCATAAAGACTTCTTGATGCTCATTTTGTTCAGAGTACAGTAGAAGCTTGTATAAAAACAGTGTGAGAGGAAGTGTTTGTGAGAGATGGTATTCAGAATTTCCAACTGCAGATAGAGGCAACGTGAATTTAGAGGACTTGTACCTCTGTAAACTACAGATCTAATGCAGAATAAAGCTTTGTTATCCTTGCACATCAGGTTTGGTCGGAAAAGAACATTGAGCACATTTCTGTTCCTGGGAGGATTGGCTTGTCTTATTGTCATGTTTCTTCCTAAAAAAAAAGGTAAATATTTCCTTTACTTTCTGAAATGTGTTAATAAAGCATCCTACACACAGCATCCTACAGCCTAAGAATTTAATGATTGCCAGTAGATTAGGCTCATACCGCGTGCGAGTCTCAATTTTCAAAGCCAGAGGAGCTAACTCGCAAAAAGGATAAGCAGGAACCTTCCTGAGACCTTAAGGAAAGCTTGTTGGAAAGGCTTGGGTTTGAACTTGTGTCTTTGGAGTCGGCCCTTTAGTTGACACATCAGTCACTCCTTCCAGTGTTTCTGACTTACCCCAAGAAACATCATTCTTTGGGACTATCTCCATTAGTCAAATGATAGATCAGTGTAAGTAGTACCCACACAATTTGTACATATCTCTCCAACTGAAAGACCGATGTCAAAAGATCTTAAGAACTGAATCTTGGGCAAGTTTCCATCTTTTCCTCACTGCTCTGTAATGTTCAAGACTGGTGTGATTGTGGTATTGGTACTGTGACCACATAATTTATAATTCAGAGAGCGTTCCGAAAATCGTCTGAAGCAAGGGGTTTCTAAGAAATGTTAAGTGAAATGTCTTTTTTGTAAAGACACAGTAATGTTCACTTCATTTTTGGATGGTTTTCAAAATGACAGAAACAAAATTGCACAATTAGCAATTTTTTCCTTTGGAAACTAAGCACATAAATTAATCTCAGCTTGTACATGTATAACACCTGTCATAAGGGGAGAAGATGCTTAAAATGCTTGAAGCATGATTCAAAAAGATTAAACATTTATGATGACAGTGTGCATAAGTTGCTCTAGATAGCAATGAATTTAATAGGTAAAGCTTTTTTAAAGGGATGCAACTGAAGTTTACAGAAGTATTCCAGGTGCTAGAGCCCAGACACTCAGAGATACTCTGCATAGGCTAGTACCATTATTCAAGTAGTGTTTGCCTTTCAGTCAAAGTATATCGTGTAGAAAGAAAGAAAATTTCAGAGGATAGAACGGGAAGACACCAAGAGACTTTGTGCTGAACTGCTAAAGACATCCAGGAGTGAAGTACCATAGGATGCAAAATGGCAACTGGGCAGAAGCAAGCACCTGTCTCTACAAAGCGTGATTTATTCAGAGCAGTAATGTCTTATGCTGTAGCCTTCCTTGGTAGGCATTTAATGCGTGTTCTGATGTGCCTGGGATAAGCAAATAAACACTGGCCATTCTGACAAAACTGAGCTAGATGGAATATTTTTCTTCCAAAGTAATAATGTTAAGAAGCATGTTATCATACTATGGAATTGACACTGAATAGGGCTCTTCTTACTAAAAGAACTTGCTCATTTTTAAAAAGCGTATCCATTCTTTTCTTCAACTTACTGACAGAACTAGTTTAGTATTTTATTAGTGGTAGACTCAGAAAATGTTAAGTTTTAGTTTCAGCTTTTACTATGTTTACAGGATTTTTATCTTACACTTCTGAAATTTGATGTTCTAGTAGAGCCTTAAGGCAGGATTTTAATGCTTTAAAGGTATCACTGTAACAGTGAGGACAAGGAAAGGAAAACTCAGTTTCTCTTTTTTTTTTTTTCTGGTATTGAGTAATAATTCTGCTTCATAGTCTCTTGGCCTGTTCAGTCATTTAACCAAGTCTTTTTTCTATTGAATTGTGTTTAATAGAATGGAAACAACTTTGGGCTGGTAGCAAGCTTGCTATAAACTTAAAATTTTTTCAGTTATTTTTTTCACAGTGTATTACATGGAGAGTTTTCATCTTTGTACAAAATTGATTGCACAGACACAGAATATAAATTATGTTGGATGATTTCTGCAATTGCTGTCTAAACAAAGGCCCCTTGGATTCTCTTGAGTTTTGAGAGTTCTCCTGAAGGTATCGCCTCTGACAAATACTGCCCTTTAATAGAAATATGCTTTGGCTGTTGTAGCAGACTCCTCAGTAGATTCCTTTTCAGTCCATGCTGTTGTGTGATTGAAATGACTGTGGAGATCTATTTGAGTGCTCGAAAATCTTATAAGGGTCATGTTTTCTCTGTCAGATACTGGAGTTTTTGCAGTGGTGAACAGTCACTCTCTGTCTTTGCTGGGGAAACTGACAATCAGTGCTGCATTTAACATTGTCTACATCTACACATCAGAGCTTTATCCCACAGTGATCAGGTAACACAAGTTAATTTTAAGGTCTTCATTTTTCTGCTTCTCTTACCTGATCACCTTTTACTTCTCTATTACTTTTTTTCTATTTACTGTACCTTTGCATTTGAGTCTTTTCAGTTATGTATACTGATAATCTGTAGTTTCATATACTAAACTTCTTCCTTTATCCTCTTCTCGTTTCCTCTTCCCTCAAATCTGCAGTGTTCTCTTCAAACTAACCATATTCTTTGTGTTACAGTAAAATAGTCCTTTGACTGATTGGTATGCCTACAGCCCTCTCCCCACTAATGTGGATAACAATAGTATTGCTGATATTTCTTTAATTAGTGGTATCTGTAACTTTTTCAGTGTGTTATAAACCAGACAACTCTGTTAAACGTTCATACTTGCTTAACAAGCAACACAGAAGATGACTGGTCAATAAGGTTTGGAAAAGTAACTTAATGCTTTTTAGGCCATATGCAAGCAAGAGTAAGGCTTCACTTAATAGTGGCAGAAGTACCCTGTGCTTGTGCTGACAGAGCAGACAAAAGCATCTATCATATGGGTGCGATTTTTAATAGATATTTTAACCAAGTATTATTGTCGATCAGCCACCAGTGTGTGTATGTACGTTAGAATTCTTAACGTGCAGGGATTTTTACTTCTTTTTAAGAACAAAGCATATGTTTTAATTCCTGTCTTGGGATGCTTTCAGTTACATTTGGCTTCTTTGCCAGTTAATGTGGTCAGGGTCATGAATGAGATTTTTTTTCCTCACTCTATGGCACTTTTCAAAGTCATAATTTCTCCTGTGCAAATGTCACTTATTAATGATTGTTGTCTTCTTAGGAATGTTGGAATGGGTGCCTGCTCCATGTTTTCCCGTGTTGGTGGAATCATTGCTCCTTTCGTCCCTTCATTGGTTTGTTTGAACTTCTCACTGTTATGTATATTTTTGTTTTGTGGCTCTGATGTATCAGAGGCTTATAGAGATGGGAATATTTTGGATAAATTATGTATATAAACTAAGATACTTAAGTTGCATGTCTTAATAGTCTCGTGGCAGGTCAAACACATTGCAATATAATCTGTGTGATTATAAAAAACCTCAATTTTTTTTAGTTCAGAAGGCGTTTTAGCCCTGTAAAAAATTTTGGGACTTAGCTAGTGGACATTAGCAATATAGTAGCTTCAAAATACCAAGATGGTGATATCCAATTTTAAACCTTAAGTGAGCAAGAGCAAAAAAAACCACATAGTTAAGAGTCACTGCATCAAGATAAAGCATATGGGCTCAACAGCTCATATTTCTGAGACTATATTAGTTTTATTGTCAGTACACTTCATTGAATATCCATGGATTATAATTATCAGCAAAGTGATGTATCTTTCAATGAATAAAGATGATTATGTGGAGGCCTCATATACCTGCAAGGCTATTGAGCACAAACTTCACAGCAGTCTGTCAAGGCAAAGAAAAATTCTTATGAACGGAACATGGAGGTGACGCCGTTATTTTCTTCTGTTCAGTCTTATGTGTATGCAGGTAAAAGTGTGCCAGTTTTTCACACAAACTGCTTGCTGAGGTCAAGTGACAATTCCTTTAATGTGACAGATTTCATCTGGAATAACTTTCCTGTCTGCCTTTTGCCATCTTGTTATGTCAGGCACAGGGCTAGCAAAAGGGCAGATGAGCACAGTGAGCCTTTTAATCTGCAGAATGAAACATTGGGTAGTTGAGAGCACAAGCTACTCCGGGGTACATCAGGCAAAGCCAAAACTGTTGCAGGTCTCCCAGGTAGATTTAATAGGCAGTTTTTATGATGTAGCAGTGGCAACATCCATTATGTTATATCTAGCAGAGATTTGGCTCTGCTGGAGATGCATATCTTGGATCATTATGTTTGAGGGGGTCCCATGAAAGTAAAAATAACTCTGAAATAACAGCTGAACATCGATTTGAGGAAAAAATTTAGTATTACAGTGTTTTGGAATTTCTTCAACTATTTCAGTCTTTTGTCTGGGGATCTTATAAAAACCATAGGAATAAGAAAAGTTAGTTGCTGAGATAAAAGATGAATTGTTCCTCTTGTTTTTGATCACAGCCTGTGAGTTTCTCAACTTAGAATTGCTCTTCACTGTACAAAGTTTGAGGTTTTGAAACAAGCAGCTAAATTCTTGCCTTTTTTAAAATGAGCCTGCTTTACTGGTCGTCTGAAAGTGAATGTGCACATCTTGGACCTATATTGTAGATGATTCAGTTTTGCATGCACCTTTCCCCAGTGTAGTTTTGCTTGTAACAAACCTTGTGATAGCAGGGACAGACATCAAAGGAGGAGTATAAACATTGCTTGGGCTGTCAAGGGTGATGACAGGAAAGCCAAAGCTCATTTGAAGCTAAAACAGGCAAGGAGCATAAATAGGGGTTCGATCAGCTAAAGGAAATTTAGAGAAAATGTTTAGCCTGTTGTTGAACAAGATGGAGATCCTATTGGTGGATGAGATGGAATAAGCTGAAATGCTTAACACTTTTGCTTTAGCCTTCATAGGCAAAGCCTGACCCCAAGACTCTGGGCATATCAGCACAGATGAGGAAGCCAAAGGCCAGCAAACTGCAGGAGCAGTAGGTTCAAGAACACTTAAAGCTGAAAGCTTTCAATTCCATGGGATAGGAATCCTCAGGAGGTGATGAAAGAGCTGGTTGTGACAGTGAGGCAAGTGTCCATCATCTGTGACAAACCATTGTAGAGAAAGGTCACTGATAACTGTCGGGGAGGAAAAGAAGTTAATGCTACGTGTGTATTTAAGATCAGAAAGTGGATCCAGGCTGAGCAGCTCAAACTCAGTCTCTGGGAAGATTGTGGGACATGACCTCTCAGGATCAGTGAACTTAGATTTACTAAGGTCAATTCATTCTCAGCCAATTTGAGTTGGTAGTAAGGCATTTCATCATAGAAGGTAATATGAATGAGGAAAGAGAGGAGATAATGAAAGGCTTTTGTAAGGCTTTTGATGTTTTCCCACAGCATTCTTGTTTGGAAGCTAAGGAAGTGTGTCCTAGGTGAAAGGAGTACTAGATTTAAATGTTGCATGGACCACCAGACTCAAAGAGATAGTGACAGGCTCAGTATTTGGTGGCTGGTGACAAGTGGAAGATAAGACAGAATACATCCCCATATATTTTTAGAGGATGCAAAATAAGGAGGAGTGATTGACATACCAACAGGTAGATCTTGAGTCCACTGGACCAACAGAAATCCCATGAAGGCCAACAACAAGAACGAAATTCTTTTTCTGGTGCGTACTAATTACACGGTCAGTACAGGCTGGGAATCTACTGGCTGAGTAGTAGCTTTGCTGGAAGAGACCCAGGCATGACAACGGATGACAAGCTAGCAGTGTTCTGTCATCACAAACAGGCAAATGTCACACTGAGCTACATCAGGCCCAGTTCAGTATGTGGCCCACAGATTAAGCTCCCTCCCAGTTCTAGAGCAATGTTGAAAAATCTGGGGAGGGTCCAGTGGAGGGTAACCAAGAGTAATGGGCCTAGAGCACATGGCTTTACATGAAAGCTTGAGGGGATATTGCACCTTTGATCTTCCCAGCAGTGTGGAACAATTCAACAGGGATCAATGACCCCAAGTTTTGGCTTGGGGGTTAGATAGGAAATTTGGAAAACGTTCTTTTTGAGAGGCTTAATGCAGCCCTGAAACGATCTACTCAGAGGGGGAATCTCTATCATTGGAGTCTTTTCAATGCTTGGTTGCACAAAGCTATAATTGCCCTGGTCTACTGTTGGCTGTAATTGTGCTTAGAGTAGGTGGTTGGCCTCGATGACCTCAAGATCTCTTCCAACCAGCATATGTGTGATTTTTGTGATATCTCTTCCCTACTACGAAATGATGTTGTGTTTATTAAAAAGTACATGATATGGGCAATAATTGAGTGTAAATCCATCAAGCATTGCTTTTAAAGTCTGTCCCAAAATCTTTGTGGATCTAATTGTATTGATAATATACACATAAGAATATTGGTTAAAAAAACCAAACAGTAAATTTGTAATTTTTTATGCTAAATATGAACACAAACACTTGCCAGGAGGAATGGTTAAGTGCTTTAATATGAAGTGTGAACTAGAGGGAACCAATTTCAACCTAACTCTCTCTGTTCTTTTTTTCCAGAAATCTGTACAGTGGTCTCTGCCTTACATTGTGTTTGGAGCGGCTGGTCTTTTGTCTGGTTTCTTAAGTTTATTGCTGCCAGAGACCTTAAACAGCCCTTTGCTAGAAACTATTTCAGACCTGCAGGTATGTTCATACTGGAGGCTGGGTGATGAAGCCATGTCATTGCAAGCCCTAGATGGCTCACAGGTATATTCAAATTTTTTCCCTACTACTTTTCTGTTGTGTTTATTTCAGCTGTCAGTTTGAATATGCCACCCTAAATAGATGAGGATAGTGATTCTTGGCCTGCAGAGGATAGGCCCCAAGGAGATACAGAAGATAGTTTAGTAACCTTACCATCACGTCTGAAATGTCTGGAAATGCAGTCTGAAACATAGCTGGGTTAATTTATCCCTTCAAGGCCAAAAGCATGCAATCTTTTCCTTTGGAATAAAGGACTCAGCGGTGTCTGTACCTCTTTAATCTCTAAGATGGATTGCTGCAGCATGCTTCATGCAAAGCTGGCTGTTGAAGTTTGAGAAGCCTTAGATGTTAAAGAAGAGAGAAGCCTTTTTGTGAAGGGCTGTTCTCAAAGACAGCGCAGTACTTCTGCCCTGACCTGCACTGACTGTTCTGCAGTGTCATTTGTGAGGTCTAGCGTAGAAAGTCTTCAAATGGGTTAGAGCTAGACTAACCTCTGTGATCTGTCCACTCGCTTTTCTTTTCCTTCTTTTTCTTTCCCTGCTCCCTCTCCCTCCTCCTCCCCTTCCCCACTAAATTCTAGGAAATTAGGTTCATTGAATATATAGGAGCCACAAAACTCCCAGGCATAAGCATAAGTAAATGTGGCAGCAGGATGTTTTCCAGTGAGGTTTCCTTGAATGTTGGTTTTTTTATATTGCTTTATACTTCATTTTGTCAAACTCCTGGACACCTATTGAGGTGTGTATGTCGTCCAGTCGTGTGGAGGTTTTCTTACATGGCTGCTCCTCTGTGAATGGAGGGGGATTAGAGAGAAGTAACTAGAGAGCTGGAAGTGGGTGTATGAGTTTGGGTCAGCTTTTAATGTTTAAATCCTGGTCCAAAAATTTTAAGTATCAATAGATTAATAAAAATTGAGTAAGTGCTGAGAAGATTTGAAGGGCAACTCAAACCAAAAAATGTTAGTTGAAACAGGATCTTTATAACACCTTTTACTTTGATTAATTTTGGTCAAGCAGCCTGAGATTAACAGGTAGTCATAAACTTATTTTCACAGAAATCAGGAGACAGAGTAACATCTATTCGCAGAATGAGAACAGTTGCTTCCTTTCAAAGGCTTCAACATGTTGCCTTGTTTACCAATTTTAGCTGTAGTAATTCTTGACAGGACAGTACAGTTTAGTGACAAAAGCACCCTTGAAGAAAGCTGAAAGAGGCAGCCCTGTAACAATTAATCTTATACGTTATCTACTTTGTGTGCACGTTTTATAAACATTTTTATCCATACTGAATAATGTGTTATGGCACCACATTCTTGTTGGCTGCACAAATCTATCGTATACACTTACATCAATTTTACAGCAGCTGTTATTTTGGTAATTACATCATTATTACTTTTTATCTGTGCAGGTGGCTTACTAACAAAAAACAATTCCAGCAAACACTGCAGGTATTACAACCTAGATGGGGGAAAGTTGCATTTTTATTTTCCTTTCTAACCAAGTATTGCCCTTTGGGATGACGGGTATTGTCTATGTATCAGTATTTGCACAACTTGGTTTACTTTGTCAAGCCGTCTTCTCAGGTTTAAATCTTCCCCACTTGCACTTCTGCAGGCTTCATAAAAATCCCAACCCGAACAGGATCCACAAAAGAAAAAAAAAAAAAAAATTTGAGAATGTTCTTCAGGAACACTTTTCCCCAGATGCATTAAAATTATTGAATCCAAATGAAAAAAAAAAAAAAATTTGAGAATGTTCTTCAGGAACACTTTTCCCCAGATGCATTAAAATTATTGAATCCAAATGAAAAAAAAAAAAAAATTTGAGAATGTTCTTCAGGAACACTTTTCCCCAGATGCATTAAAATTATTGAATCCAAATGAAAAAAAAAAAAAAATTTGAGAATGTTCTTCAGGAACACTTTTCCCCAGATGCATTAAAATTATTGAATCCAAATGAAAAAAAAAAAAAAATTTGAGAATGTTCTTCAGGAACACTTTTCCCCAGATGCATTAAAATTATTGAATCCAAATGAAAAAAAAAAAAAAATTTGAGAATGTTCTTCAGGAACACTTTTCCCCAGATGCATTAAAATTATTGAATCCAAATGAAAAAAAAAAAAAAATTTGAGAATGTTCTTCAGGAACACTTTTCCCCAGATGCATTAAAATTATTGAATCCAAATGAAAAAAAAAAAAAAATTTGAGAATGTTCTTCAGGAACACTTTTCCCCAGATGAATTAAAATTATTGAATCCAAATGAAAAAAAAAAAAAAGACATTGGTTCAGGCCTGAAGTAATCCTGTAACTTCGGTGAAGTTGTATCTTGAACATTTGTGACACATTAGGGCTTTATTTTAAAGCTCACAAAGAAAGCACTGATAAAATGGAAAGCTGTTAAACATTAACCCTATTTGACAAGGCCATGGAGAGGTCTTACGAAGCTGCTGTAAGAAATACATAGAATTTATTTGGCGTACCCTGAATTCCCCCTGTGGAATCCATTGTCCTTCTGTACCACTTTCAAGATAACATGTGTTATGGTTGCCCGGAGTGGAGGTTTTATCCCTGTTAACATACATGAATGTGATATTCAAGTTGGACAGCATCCAGCGATAGCCTGACTTTCCTCAAATAATTTTCGAAATAAAGAAAAAAGCATAACATAATTCCCTTTTGATCTTCTGACAGGTCTTAGTGCTCAAACTGTTCGAAATTCCTTTGCAGTTCACGCACATTGCTGTAGCAAAACTCTTCTGAAGACAGATCTAAAGCTACAGATTTTGCTTGCATGGTACTGTCAGTCAGGAACATGATTTCCATTTCTCAATTTTTTCACCCTCTCTCTCACCCTGCTTTGCATAAGACTAGACAGACAGAAATCTTGGGGTGGGTACAAGCATACTGGGGAAACAATTCCTAAACACTCAAACTAGATGGAGTCTATACTAGCAAGAAAATCTTTTTTACTGAACTAGTTTGTATCAGTTCCATGGAAAAATGCTACACTGGCCAAATAAAAAAATGAATTAGCTGTAATAGCTGACTTCAGTTTGGGTATATGATATAAATTATGTTGTTAAAAGGACTCTGGCTGGATTAAGTATGCCTATAAATAGGGAGTTTACTTCCTGAATTTATGAAGTAGTAATGTTTTTTTCCCTTTTCCATAACACCATTAGTTAGTATTGCAGGGAGATCTTTTTAATTAAAAACTTGCGTGGGACGTTGCCCATGCTATACATGGAAAAGTAGTAATTCATGATGGAGAAGCTTTTACCTAATCAGGTAATCTGTGTGTTCTGAGCCTCTGTTTCCAGTAGCTCACCACAGAGTAGGGACCTTAGACTTAAATTGAGAAAGCTGAGTAATTTATCCCTTCAGAACCATTCTAGCTGGTCTCCCTCCTGCATATACTATCTTGTGTACTGGTGGAGCAGAGAACCTCATCTCTTTTAAAGAGATTTTGAAGAACCTAGGACACAAAGAAATTTTAATTCATGTAATGTCTCTTACAAAGTTTTAATGCACTGATTTGATTCTTTTCTTACTTTTTCTCTACCAGGATTCCAGCAGAGGTGTAATGATTCATGCATATGTATTTTGAGATCAATTTATTGGCTTCTGTGCTAACCAGTGACTTCATTTTTGTTTCTAGTCTGGAGACAAAGACAGTTCTGCAGGGAGTGGAAGCGAAGATGAAGAGTTTTATGATGCTGATGAAGAGACGCATATGATCAAGTAGTGAAAAGAAGAAACGCTGGCTTATTTTATGCCTTTTCTTACTTGTCCAGTCAGTTCAGCTGTAAGATGCGTACTGGGGACCTCGCCTGTCAGAGAATGTAATTGGGCAAGTGCCTGTGTTTTTCCTGACTTGGAGAGGGGTTTGAGTAGTGTTCAAACTAATTACACCACTGATGCCCTCCTTACGAGATGGCTGTTCAGATTCTTGTGGTTCAGAATGACAGTGCACGGACCACATTTGAAGCCAGGTGAGACAGCAAGGGTGGGATCATGTATTTCTGAAACCTAGGAAACTACCTAGGCTTAGACAGATTTGGACAGATCATCAATGCACATGTTTGTATTTTATTTTCAAGCTGGTTGATTTTGATTCAGTATAAATTGACAAACTCGAACTGTTTGGTTTTTTCTGTAAAGTGAAAGTGGTCACAGAATGTGCTGTGTGCTACTCCAATGGGAACAAATTCCTGAAATAGTATGTTAAAAAGGCTTCTGAATATTGAGTAGGGCAGAGGCAACTGTGAACATAAGGCTTCTCTCTCTACACACCTGTATGTAGTTACAGGGTGCAGCTGGTTAGTCATGAGCTGTGCATTAACTTAAAAAAAAATGGAAGGCCAGGAGGAAGAACGACAGAAAAGAGCAACCATAAAGCCTGAAGACATACAGGACATTTACTGATTATTTTTTTCCCTTCTCTTCATCCACCAAGCATATTCTTGGGCTGTCTTACGCATACGTTTACTACATGTTCCCCACATCTCAGCACGCTGTTTATAGCTTTGCCTACTTTTCCCTAGTCCTCACTTTGCCATAAATATTGAAGCTCAGCAACTTCTCTGTGCAGTGAAATAATTCTGTGAAGGATATAATTTCATGGGTGGGACATACGTGAAGTATTTATCACATAGTGTGCATGTGAGGTGTGTGTTAGAATATATAGCTCACTTTGTGGACCTACCTGTCTTATTTCTGGAAGAAATTTAACTCTGAAGTGGTAAGAGGAACCATGGGTTGCTTTTACATTTTGGAGATTATTGCCAGGAAGCTGCTAGTATTTATTTAAAATTCTTGTGTGTAGATAAAGTTCTCATTAAAAAAAAAAAGGGGGGGGCAAGTAACTTTGAGGCTGCATTTGGTTACTCGATGTTGTTTTTTAACCAGGTGCATGCTTTGTGCACTTGGTTACTTGACCTTGTTGAGGAAGACAACTTCATTCTCCTGTTTATGCTGAACTTCCTGTAAGTGCTTCGTTAGAGAGATAGGGAATCTTGAAATAGGAAACATGAACATATGAGGTGTTCCAGCTACAAAGGTGAGGCTTTACAAGGATTCAGTTTTGTTGATTACATTGTCGTTTTCATCCTCTGACTTGTGGCTTTCTATTTAAGATTAATTTCCATAAAATGCTTGCTAATCTTTATACTTGAAGTTCCTAGAAAATGCCACACAATGGCAGCAAATATATTGTCAGGCTTGCCAGCCATGTTTGTGGATGTTAGACTAAAAAAAACTGGATAAAAAAAAATTCAAAAAGCTGGCTGCTGAATAGCTTCTGGTTAAAATGGGAAGCTCCTTTGCTCTGAAAGGAAGCAAAAGCAGACAGCATCTGAAGTTTGCAGCTAGTTGCTTGACCTTTGTTCACTGGGAACTGTAATGCTGAGCAAGGTGCAGCTACCCTTGTTGGTGCAGAGGGCAGCCCAGAGACTCTGGATTCATGCATGCGGTGCTCTCACTTGGCCTGAGCTTGATCCAGGCGTTGACTGCAAGCAAAGTTGGGAACTTCAGTCCCTATGGATAATGTGTCAGTGTTGTTTTATTTTTTGTGTGTGTTATGAGCTCACAAGAAGAATTCCAGCCTGCAGTCTTCACTTTATTTTTTCCAGACTGTTGAATAGTTGTTGTAGCTCTGGCAGGGCACTTTTAAACCCAGCTGAATAGTCTTTCTGCCTTATATGGCCCTTTTTTATGCAAGAAAGAAAATTGCTCCAAATAAGGTAAATGGAAATACTTGGAAAGGTTGAATCTTTTTGGTGAAAGAATTTTTTTAGTTTTGCATTCACATTTTGAATTATGGAGAGCTGGAAAAAAAAAAAAAGACTTTTTGTTGCTGCTTATTTAGAAGCATATAGTGGTACGCCTGGTGGTGTTAACATGCTGCCAAGACCCAACAGTTTTACTTTAACACTAGTTTTAGGTGTTTGCTGCCTCTGTCCCTCTTTGGACAGTAGGTGGAGAAAGTCCCCTGAGAGGCAGACAGGAACTGTCAGCTTTCCTCCCTCCATGGTTTTACTGTCATCCTCTGCTATTGGCAACTCTGGTCATGCTGTAGGACACCTCAGCGCAATTTTCATTAGAACAATAGGATGCTGTAATGGTTCAGGTGGAGGAGATCACTCTTTGTAGGACCTGATCTGGATTTTTTTTGACAGTCCTCAACTTACCTCTCCACTCATGCACTTCTGTATTGTAAATATATATATATGAAAATGCAAAAATGAGTGTGAAGAAAACATCAATTTTTTTTCCATAAAACTTGCTATTTTTTAACCAAAATTTGCTGCTCTTTTTTAACCTTGTATCTGTCCTGTATTTGCACCTTTAGATTTTTAAATAGCAGCATCTTTTTTGTGTCAACCATAGAAACTCTCTATCGTTACTATCCCTGGCCAATTAATTCGGAAGTTTTATAGGAGAGAATCCCTCCAGGAGGAGCTCAGCAATGTTGTATCAAGTTTCTTACAATTACTTACTCTCCCCCTTTATGTTTTGAAACCCAATTCTGTTGGGTGCATTAAGGTGTTTTTTTTTTTTTAAGATAGGTTGGTTTTAAAGAACTGACCTTCTGGTACAGAAACCTGGACCTTCTGGTACAGAAACCTGTAGGATCACTTCTTTCTTACCTGGAGAGTGTAATGCTTTATGATATTGAGATACTTGTCCTATGTGTGGCATTCATTGGAGAGGAATGCTACACAGTGTTTTGCAGCCTACGTGGTCAGCATTTTCTGTATCTAGATGGAGTAATATTGCTAAGCCCAAGTTCTTCAGTTGAGCAGTGCCTGCTGTTACAGGTGTCTCAACCAGGTTACTTGAAAGCCCAAGTCAGAAGGTCAGAGACCAACTTTGAAGTTGTATGTAAGCAGTCTGTGTAGGCCCAATTAACAAATGTCAGTGTTTGGATAGTAAGCTTGCCTTGAAGAGCTCCTGGAGAGCAGAGGCTGATACAGCACTAGTTATATCATCCTTTCTGACGTATTGTGATGCTAAGAGTCTGAGACCCAATATCCTTTCTATAGTTGAGTGAAGTATGACAACCTTATCTCAGATTTTTTGCTAAAGTAGCTTTGTATACTAAGCAGTCTGCACTGTTAACTACTTTTTGTGTTGTGCAGGCACTAGGCTACCTACCCCCAAGATGGGAATTCCTTCCCTGGATTCCTCTGGGTTTGTAGCTGTCATTTTTTTTTCAGCCAGCTTGCTTAATGGGATTATGTGAGAGGTGAGAGAGACTTTCCCATGGTGCTGACCGGTTAGATCTTAATAATGTCTGAGATGACGTATGTTTGGGATTCTGCTGCATGGGGACTTCACAAGTGATACTTGAATATAGCTAGAAGTGAAGGAGAGTGACGGGTCATGTGAGACAGCATGCAGGAGAATTAACTGGAGGGAGTCAAAAGAATAGGGGATTCAACAGAAACACTTTAGGGCAAGTGAAAACACAAGATAGTAGCCATTGAGTGGCTTCTTGCTGCTTAACTTGAAGCTTCTCCTTTCAGAGCTAGCACTGGTTCCAGGAGGTCCTACTGGTGTCCCAGTTTCATCATTTCCTTTTTAATGTCAACTTCGTTCAACATTACTACTTAAGTGATGAAACATTTATTTTGATCGATATAAAATGTGGCATGCTTGAGCTTCCTTTTGGACTCAGCTTTTTTATGTGATGGCATGTCACTAAAATCATTAAAATTTCTAAAGCCCTCTTTTGGAGAATACTGTATAACTGTCATAGATTATTTTGCCAGCTTCCCTTTAGAAAAATAGGAAGATTAAGCTTATTTGATGTATTTTTGTCACACAACTGATACTTCGGCCTTCTAAAAGGGTTTTACTACTTGGCTATTTTTTGGTAGGCTGAACAAGAATAGAGTATTTAAACTGCTTCCCCAGAAAGCTAGTGGTCTCCATTTAGGGCTTGGGAAAGTGCTATTCAGGGACTTCCTGACACGCCAGAAACTTGGAAGTTCTGTGTTAAAGAAGTGCCACAGGTGACTTGGTGTTCAGGTCAGGGTACTGAGTGAAGAACGTGTCCATATCTCTCCAGAGACACCTAATTAACACGGAGCAGGTTGTAGATAGCTGCCACCTTTGTTACGGTCAAGGCTTTAAGGATTGCAGCCACATGCTCCTCTGCTGACGGTGCACAATCCATGCCAGGATTTCCAAACTGTATGGATGTACTGAGCTTAGCAGAACATCCTTTGCGGAACCACGGGGAATGCGGTTGAGCCATACATTTTCCAGCTTAATTCACCTAAGCATATAAAAGCAGTTCACAAGAGAATGTTTTTCTTGTGTTGAGGAGAAGGGGAAGGTGAGGAACAAACTTACTTTTCCTAGAGTATGTTAATAGAAACATTTGAGCTAAAACTTGTGTTCCTGAGTCTTCTGCATAATCACCAAATGCAGATTTGGTTAGTATTATTTTGTTTTAGCTGAAGGATGGTGTGCTATGTTTACTTTTTCCCCACCCTATTAGAGTTTCTTTGATCATGCTCTTTGACACAGCTGGATCTAGACATCTCTGCGTGTGAGCCTTGCAGTAACTATGTCAGAAAAGCCCAAGAGCAGTGCTATCATTTGATGGTGGAATTTAGTCTGACCTGACACACTTAATGCCCGTGTCAGAAATGTCTATATTCAGCTGTTTACCAATCTGGAGACTTAAGATATAGCCGTATGTCGAGTCTTATTTCTTGTATCTTACTACAACATTAATTAAATGAAAGAAAGACACCTAAGTAAGAAAACTTCTGTGAGATCTAAATGTAGAATTGGAGGGTGAACAAATTTGTACAGAATTTTTCCATGCTACGTATTTGTAATGCCTTGTCCAGTCTCTTGTAGCCTTCAGATTTTCCAGGTGCTGCTGTTATTGGGGTCTAATGGATCTGGGTTAAACTTTCAACCTGATGGTCTGACTTCACTGAACTCTGTCATCTTATTTGTGGTGTTACTGGCTGTTTTTGTCATTCTGACAAAAGCTCCTGTATTGCCTAATGGGGAACGTTTTTCTGTTCTAATTTGAAGTGCCTGCTTTATAAAAGTTGTCTTTAATTTCCTCAGTCAACTTGATATGGGAGTGTGTGTAAAGTAACATCATAGAATTGGATTATATAAGTGCCAAAGACAGTTTTGCTGGAAAGCAATGGTCCAAAACTAGTTCTAACTGCATTCATTTGGAATTCTTCCATGCAACTTGCTAAAACTGGTATTTACAAGCAGCTCTGGAACTTTAGGGGACAGAGAGAGAGTTACCTGTGTTTGCTTGTCTTTCTTTCATTGCTCAGTTCACTCAAGTAGCTTTTGTTTCTGAGAAACCAAAGAAATTAAATGCAAGATTTAAGATAAAGTGTAGATTTTGTAGAACATGCAGAATTTATACCATGTAGCCATTATAGAGAAATCTGCAGAGCCCGTTTGCTTCAGAGTTGCAAATGTCAAAGCTTACTCGAAGAGTGATAAAACCTGGTTAAAAATTGCAGATTGGAATTTGTTAATTCATTCATCAGCCTTACAAATTAGCATTGCTAATAACAGCTTGCCTGGAGCTTCATAGGATCTAGCAGATTTCTGAAAAATGTACAGTCTGTTTAAGGCATTGCTAAATACTAATGTCTGGAGTTTAAATCCATAGTACAACTAAAATTCACTGCGAGTCAGCCCTATTATGGCTGCTTGTTTGCCAGTAAATAGGCAGGTGGAGAAAAGTTTGTGCAGCAACAGCTGGCAGATAAATGGTTTAAAAGAAATAATCTGCTCTCTCCAGTGTGTATGCAAAATGAAGCGGGACCATGGAGTGTCAGGACCCTCTCATTCACAGCAAGCTTATAGAATAGAGTATGTTTAAATAAGTACTTGCCCACCCTCATTTACAAAAGGTTTGTAGAAGAAACAGATCTTTAACATGCATGTTACTGCTTCCCACCAACACATCTGAGGTGCTTATATTATACCTACATTGTCAGGAGGCAGTAAGAGAACCGTTGCCAATATTGACATTTATATTTACTTAAAGATGTCCCATGAGAGGTATCTGGCACATCTGTGTTCAAACAAAATGTTTTTAAATGATGGAAACTTCATTGGGACACAGGCATTTGTGATGTTAGTTTGTAGGGGAAAAAAAAAAAAATCAGTGTTGCAGACACTGATGAAAACTTTTAGAGTGTGGACAACTGCTGAGTGTTTTGTGATTAAAGAATTTATTACAGTTGCTGTGATTTTAATTATGTCTCTGAGACTGGTTTTAAATATTTGATCCTTGTCACTCCCCAAAGTCTAACCCAAATTTTTTGTTCTTGTTAAAATTTGAGTAAGTCATGTAGAAATAAGAAATATATTTTTCATATGGATACTTTTATTGCACTACCTTTCCTTCCTGAATTTAATAATACTTTTACTATTTTTTTTAAGGTACCTCTTTATGTTGAGCTTTTTCGTCGGTTTTGTGTTTAATTGATTTTTAGGAAACTACAAAATACTTCCTTTTTTTATTTATGTGGGAATCCATGACTTAAAACCATGAGTCTTCCTTCTGTTTAAAGTTTTTCTTAAAGGTCTTTTAAATTTAGTTAAAAGACTTGAGCTTTTGAAGGAGCAGAATAATTACACACTTAGAACATGGGTTCTTCTGTGTGTAATGTCTGCTTTTAGAAGGGCCAGAAAGCTCTTGATTTAATACTAACCTCAGTTGACATGACCTTTGGGGGGCAATAAGTATTGAGTTGGGGAGTTTTGATCAATTTAATTTATTGCCAATTAAAGAGCTTTTAGTTACTGGTTTTGGTATGGAAAGAAAAAAATAAATAAAACACTTAAGAAAAACACTGCTGCTTTCTTCCAGACAACACTCTTCCTGCTATCCCCCACCCCACAGTGGTCTCCAGTTCCTTGGCTGCATGTCCCTTCAGCAGTGCAATAGGTAGCACAGGTGATGGGGATCTTGCTCTTCTTTCACTGCTCCTTGTTCCTTCTTCAGCTGCTCTCTTGTGGGTTTCTTCACCAGCCACACTCCCTTTAGAGTTGTAGCTCCTTCTGAGTCTACTCTCAGCCTCTGCTCAGGCTATGATTTCCCTTTGGCATTTCTCCTGCTCAGCCATCTCTCCTTTCTGTTCCTCTTGTGCTGTCATGGTCTTACCCTTTTTTTCCTCCTCCTGCTGTAGCACTGTAATCTTTCTTGTCATTTACTGCCCTTTCTTAAATGTGCTTTTGCAGAAGTGCCAGAAACTCCTCTGACTGTGCTGGAGTGCATTGGGTCAGTGCCCACTGTGCCCAAGAGGCAATGGACACTAACAAAGACACAGGAGGATCCATCTGAGCATAGGGAAGGATTTTTTTACTGTGAGGGTGCCCAGGCACTGGTACAGGTTGCCTGGAGAGGTTGTGGAGTCTCCATGTGTGCAGATATTCAGAAGCTATCTGAACGTAGTCCTAGGCAGCCTGCTTTAGTAGGTGGCCTTGCTTGAGTAGGGGGTTGGACCAGATGACCTCCAGAGGTTTCCTTCCAACCTCATCCATTTTATGATTTCTGTGCTGCCTGTTGCTGAGCTGGGTGGGACAGGAACAGGGCAGTCCCTGGCCCCTTCCCACACAAGACACCCTGCAGTCCTCTTGCTACCAAAACCCTGACATTTATGGTCAATACATGATTGTACAGGGTCTTCTTCCAAATCAAGGCCTTACAGTTTGACCTGACAGTTTTTGTGAGTGGTAGTTGGTACTGTATTCCCTTCCTCTGTTACTATTGTCTTAGGTCAAGTAAATGAAACTCCTAAGGATATAATCAGACATTTGTAGCCAAGTTTTGTGTCTCGTTACATTTCCATCCATGCTGATTTCAGAAGACAGAAATTAGATCTCCGCTTAACCAGAGGAACAGCCAAAGGGGTAAACTACTTTCTGCTCAACTCTTCATCATCATGAAAACAAATCTTTGTATAGTCTCTACGTCCTGTAGATCCTCGTGCCACTTTAATTTGAACCAACAATCCAAGTCCTTGCCAGTTGAGAGTTGAGTAACAGGAGAGTGGGAATGGGGGGAATAGATTCACGGCTTCAAACAAAAATCAAGTTGTATATAGTTAGTGTGTGTGTGTGTGTGTGTATTTTTAAATATTTAATTTGGATTACTTGAATACTGAGTGTTATGAGCCTTCCTATGTTAAAATGAGGACTGATGTATTTCAGAAGTACTTTTGCTTCTTTAACTGTATTAGTGTGCTGTTGTTAACTCAGAGTTGTACTGCTGAAAAGTCTGGTTTTTAGAATATGTGATCTGAGAAGTCACAACTAAAGACAGCATAAGCTTTTCCACAGTAGACCTTTTATGGTGGTATATTCATATGTTCTGTGAACAGCTGTTGGATCCATCTTTTTAAGATGTTTTTTGCCATAGATGAGGGGCCATAACAAATCTTGAAATATTCAGAATAATTGCACTTACCTTTTCTGTTTTCTTAATGTATTTCCTATGCATACTGCCTTACCTGTATGTACTGTGCTTCACTGGAGGTACAAAAGGTAGATATCAGGTTTTTAATTTATAAAATGTAAATGAATTTTAAAAATAATTCTGTAATATTACATATTTTCCAATTATATCTGTCTTCTGAGAGGGTGATGGTGGTAAGCCCAGGTGAATTTATTCAGAACTAATATTGATGGTCTTTACATTCTTGCTTAATTTCTGAATTATTTTGATCATTTGAAACATTTTTCCTTTTATGTTTTTTGTAGAGGCTAACCTATCTTAGTAAGCCAACTTTTAGGTGATTTGTAACAGCTCTGATACTGCCTCTGACGCATACAGTTCACATAATGTCTTTGTAACTTATTTTGTGCCTTTTCTTCCCCTGACACAAAATCTCTCAATAAAAACAAGCTCTTTTGCAACACTGCAAACCTATTTTATTGTTTTTTTTTTTTTTTTTTTTTTTTTGCTTGCCTGACCCTTTTGTTTTGTTTTCTGGAGGGGGCTGAAGCTCTCAGAATAGAATAGATATTTATAACAGACTCTGCAGAAGAAAATTGACAAGGTGGAAAGCAGGTCATTTTGGAATGGCAGCGCTACAAAGCGCCTGGGAAACTGGGACTGTCAGTACTAATCAATATATTCCACCGTATCTATCACAAATCATTTCTAACAAAAACCGGCAGCCGTGGAATGTGAGAATCAATTTACTACTGGCTTCAGTTGTGCTGATTGATGTTGAAAGACTGGAAACACTTTGGGGGGTTTAGCATAGCAAAATGTCTGTGGTGTTGTAACTAACACTTGTACTGGGGCAGTGCCCACCAACACTAGCTGGCACTTAACGCCCCTTCTCTGAAGTGCTATGCAAATGCACAAAAACATAAGCCTCATCCTCAGGGCTTCTACGTAAGCGTTTTGGCAGGGAATGGCAGAATTTGAACATTTGTCTTCATTACCTGGGAATGAGGTGATAAATAGCTTGACTGCTTTTCTTGTCCCCTGTCCAGTGACAAAGAAAATATTGTCTGAATCTGAAAAAAGTGACTGTGGGAAATAGGGATCAGTGCTCTGACCAGAGCACTCATACCTTTGTCTATCCTTCAAAAAAAAAGAAGAAAAAAAAGTGATTTAAAGATTCTCCTTGAATAGCTGGTCCCTTGGGCACGTGTCAAAGCACTGTCTATCAATATTTTAAAGTGTATATACTAAAGACACGTGGTCTACATCATAGATAATATTACCATACCTTGTGTTATGTTATGTTGTGTTTTTGTCAATGTGGAGTTAAGAATAATAATCCAGCCAGATGTCCTGTCTGCACTTCCTGGACACAGACCACTGCTGAAGTCATCCTTTGCTCTTGTATTGCTTACTGCAAAAGAAAAATGTAACTGTCTTAATTATCTTTTCTCATTAATCTGTCGTATACTTTTTAGAATCTCCTGAAGTTTTAAACAAGGTATTCTGAAGTCTTTTGAAGTCCAAGTGTTTTCATCAGCAGCCTTTCTGGAATGAGTAACTGGAGTCTATGAAACATACACCAGCATCCAAAATCACTTGTGTTGTTCATCCCTTGATCTAAAGTTACCGGACAAAGGCCACCTTTTGTTCTTGGTATTTCTGATTCTTGTGAGCCTTAATCTTATTTCTGGTACTTGAGATACTTCGGGTTTTACTTCAGTTTTCACTTTTGCTGCTCTTTCACCATGGAGGTGGTGATTGACGGCTCAGTTTTCCAGATGTCTCTAGTTACATGCTCAGCATAGTTCCACCTATAGCCATTCAAATTTGCTTTTCACTCCTCTCTGATAGTTCTTAACTACATACTGCAGGGAGCTAGTGGCTTAAAAGGCTTAGCTGGTCGTCATCTACTTGGGGATAAGGAGCGCTTCTGTAAGCAGCCACTGGATATGGCAGTATGATCTGCTGTACCCAAGGGCTGATTTACATTGACGCACCTTTCTACGTACCTTTCTTTGAACCTGTTAACTTGGGCTGTTGTTAAATGCAGCTTTGCTTGCCTGTGCTTTATCTAGGAACTGGCTGTATCTTGCTGCAACCTGTTTGACTACCAGGCCATGGCGTTGTACTCTTTGTTGAGTCAAGATAAGGAAAAACAGGTGGAGAGACCAAGAATGGGGGAAGGGACCACAAATTACATATGGAAAAACTGTGGTTCCCATGGCTGTTGTGAATTTTTTCAAATTGTTTTTCTTTTTAACAGTCAGTATAGCTCTAACCTTTTCTTTGTTGTGATGCTTCTGCTGTAAGTAATTTTTCACACTGACAAGAGAAAGACACTTCTGGACGTCATCAAATGGGAGGTGTGGAACTAAAGTGCCCTCCCTTAAAAGCAGGGACATTTTGAGAAATGCGCTTGTCCCTTGCAAATAACAGTCAGTGCTGGTGTTGAGAAGGCAGTAATTTATTACTTACCAGCTGCCAAGCAGCTATTAGGCAAAATTACTTGGTTCTTCCAAACAGCACCAGGCTCAAATTTAACTAAAATTGCCTTATTTTTACTAGACTCAGCAGTGTGCTTCTAAGAGAAACTCAACTCTGCCTTTTCCTGCATTGTCATCTTGCTTCTTGTTGCTTACACAGAGACAAGACAAATCACTTGTGGTCAAATTCTCTCTGTCTTGGCGAATGAAGGTCTCTAATCCTGATCTGTTACTTAACTTAGAGCACCTTCAATGACAATCCTTGCTGCAGGGAGGAGGGGCAAAACCTCAACTTTTTATTGATCAAACTTGGTAACAGCAGTTAATATAATGTTATGCTTGGAAAAGTCATTCATGCCACTTGCCATTTCTTTTTCTAGTAAAGATGACAGCAATGCAACTGAGCAGATTTACCTCTGTCTTGTGGAAGAAAGAGGTAATACACACCAGAAGTATTGCAGGATTCCTTCTGATCTCGTTTTGCCTTCCACACTCCTGCTACTGAGAGGTTGCCAAGATATAACAATCCTGCAATCTGTTCTGCAGCTGAAAGTGGGCAATTTTGTTTGTTTCTCTACACTTTGTATAATCCTTGCACTAGCTTGGCAAAACTACAATGGAGAACGTCATGAGGACTCATTGAAGGGAAGGCTGACTGATCCATGCAGATGGGATTACTTGGAAGTTTGCAAGTTCAGAAAGAGTTTTTAAAATCTAGTTCAACTAAATTTTGATTCAGCTATGGTTTAAGCCATGGACCAGATCCCAAAGCTGGAGTGCTCTAATGAGGGGGCCTATTCATTTATTATTTTTTTTTTTTTAGAGTTGTTGTTAACTCTCTGATGCTGCATCTTGCAGTATCACACTCCTGATCTCTAACATGTCTTCCACCTGCTTCGCTTACCATCCATGCAGGACAAGGTGACACCTTTAATAACGTCCTGGTGGAGCTGTCCTGCAGGTGTGCCTAACATACACAAGCAGAGAAACAACCATAAGCAGAACACAAGCGCTTTGCGCAAGTAAAAACTACTGATGAAGGAAGTTGTTCAGTGTAGGGTAATTCCTCTCTTGATCAACTGCTCCTTCTTCCAAGAGCTCCTGTGAAGCTTTGACACCTCCCAAAGCTATTAGCTTGGATTTGGTAAGAATCCTCTGCCTCATTTTGGATGGTAGGTGCACCACATAGTAGAGGTTACCTCTGCACAAGTCCTAGCAATTGACTGACAGTTTCTCCCCCTTCTCCGAATGTGAGGTACTGTCTTCTCAACTCTGGGCTCAAGGAAAAGTAGAAGGTGTTAGAGGGAGTATTCTGCCTACAGTTAAATCGAGGAGCCAAATGCGGGTCAGTACAGAGCTCTCCTGTCTGACAGGAGGCAGAGGTAGGCTCCATCCTTCAGCATGCCTGTACTGCCCTTTGTCAACATCTGCCACGTCAGCTTGGGCCTTCAGTGCTCTGTTTGTGTTTTTCTATGGTGTTGGTTTCCTGCTCTGCAGTCACCCTTGTTTTTCCGTCATAGTGAAAGTGGCTATTTGTACTTCACATGTTTATTTTCCCTTCGATTTTAAACCTGCATCAAGGCACCTTACTGTTTGTGCTGCAGATGCTGACCCGTGGATACATTTGCAGTTGGTACCAAATACACACCCTATTGTGTATGGGTTATTAACTAGCAGTGGGAATCTTGAGCTTGTCCAGACTGTGTTCTGTTTGGGTCAAGGTCTCTCTCCAGTTTGCTTGATATTCACTTTGAAGTGTTTGATTAACACCTGGTTAAAGGAAGTAAAGAAAAGTCCTCTCACACCTCTGCAAGCCCTGCCAAAGCACACGTTACCATTGCGGTGATTAGGATAGAACCTTTGAGTACTACAGCTGAAATTGGCACCAGCTCCAGGTAAGTCACATTTTCTCACCAAAGCTTTTTTGCTTTCTTGAACCCTCCACCCCAACTCCTATCTATAAAATAGAGCCAGGGTGATTTTGCCAGATCATGGGTTATGTTAAATTGTGTTCGTAACGATGATGCTGGACAAGGTGTATCTCTGTTGAAGTCGGTATAAAGATGTCATAGAGAAACCAAATATTCTTAGGAAAGTAATTTTTATTGTTTTGATCCTCGCGTAGCACATAGGGAGAGCGAGCTTTTGGGATGATGTGGCTTTCAGAAACAGTGTGCATAAAGGTAGGAGAAAGCAGTGCTTGGACACTGGCCTTTTCTCAGAGTTGTTGGGTTGTTTGAATTGAGGGTCTGTTATTTTCCCTAAAATTTTGAATTACAGCTGTGGCCTCTTGGTCTTTTTCTCTGCTAGGCTTTGGTTTGTTAGAGAGCAGTGAATGGAGAAGTTCACTCAAATGAGACTTTGTTGTCCCTGATAGCAGGAGCTGGACTGAATGACCCTGGATGCCTATGAGTGCTGTTCTGCTTCCACTTCTCTTCTGACCCAAACTCAGCGTGGTGGTGCAATAGCCTGGCCAAGCGACTTGTTCTGCATATTCCTAGTGCTTTTATTCCAGGTTTGTTTCTCCTCCCACGATCCTGCTTTCAGCACCCTGAATCTGTATTTAACTAGTTCTAGCCCTAAATATCTACCCTGTGTCCTGTCACTGCCTGGAGCAGATGCAGCGCAAATGATTGACCCTCTCCCTTTGGCAATTTAGCTTTGACTGCACAAAACAGCCAATAAAGTGGAAAGGGCTGGGCAGCTGATTACGGGGATTAACTTGAAGCTGTATAGTTTTATGGTCTAAGATAGAGGAGGAAGTGTTGGTTTGAAGAATGCAATTGCATTCCTCCTCCTTTCTTCTGCTGCCTGCTCCTGACGATAACAGGTTTGTAGAAGTTGCCAACTAAAAAAACAGCATACATATTTGCCAGACACAGCTTGGGCAGAGGCTGTTAGCTCATTTTCCAGTGACTGAAGCTGGAGTGTGTAGCAATGCAGGTCATGATCTGATCTGTCTAGAAATTCTCTGAAAAGACTTGACTGAAGCCTTTGCTGAGATTCTGTCTCATATGAGGCTGCTTCTCACTGAAGTTTGTCTGCTGAATCTCTTGATCAGCTTTGTGGTACGTATGTCATACTTTTAATAAAGCATCTCTTTTCTTGCTTCTGCTGGTGCTGTCATTCTTGTCTGTATTGTAATTGCTCCCTCGTGGCAACTGTTTCCCTTGGGGCCCTCGTACTATAGAGTTTCTTAATGATTCTTAATGAATCTTCTTCCCACCCAAAACACGCAGTTGCCTGGCTCTTTCCCTGTGCTTTTCTCAAGCTACTTCTAATGTTATACTGGCAAATTCTTCTTCAGCATCTCATTTCCATCCTCTCCTCAATGCCTTGTTAGCCTCAGAACACAGCACAGTGTCCAAATTGACATATCCTGGGGACCACCTATTAGTTGTAACTTTGATATCTATTACCTGTGTGTGGCATGACACAAGCTGAGAAGTTTGATCAGTTTTTACAGCATATTGTCCATACCACTAAGCAAGATCATACAAAACCACAGCTGCTTTAATGTTGTTCAAGCTCCTGCTGAACAATTCACTCTGTTTTTTTTTTAGTCTCACTTCCCTCCCGTACAAATACATCTCCCAGCACTCAGAAGTAGGTTCCAAGTGCCAGGCTCTTTGGGTCTGGAGACTCTTCTCAACTGCTTACTGAAGCTCATGTGTTTGTTCTGCAATAATATTTTCATCAAGAGAAAGCAATAGATCTTATGGGTCCGTAGCTGTCATTGCCCTGTGAGGTATGATGCCTAGTTTCTAGTTTTGGCTCCAATGAACATTTGGACATTTTTTTACTAGTCAGTCAGTGGCTGAAGCACATAAACAGTGAGGCCAGTGTGAGTCTCCTCTCTCCCAAGTGAGTTTGCGTTAGAGTGACTATTCTTACTTAACACTGGTGATTTATTCAATTTGATTCCAACTGCAATAGACTCAAGCAATAAGTTCAGAATAGGGTCAGTTTGGACGCAAGAGCAAAGGGTAAAAATAATACCAGCTAACATTGTTTGTGCTCTGGAGGGCAGCCACAGAAAAAACACCAGCTCCTGGAAATGCTGTGTTCCAGTCTGATTCAGCTCCTCATATAGACAGAGCATCATTGCAAATGTGCTCCTTGTTTGGGCGCTTGTTGATCTCAGCTGTGGTCTGTCTGGCCCAGAGTTATCATGCCTCTAGATTCAAAGTCCTTTTCTTGACAGCTGAAAATAATAAGTCTACCAAGAGCCAAGCAAACCTATGCTGAGATCAAAAATGAGCCAGCTTTTTCTCACCTGCCAAGACTTCCAGTGCTAAATGTTTTTCCAGTTGCGCTGTGCTCTGCCAAACATCATGTTTTCTCCAGATGCTGCTCTTCTAGCCATGTGTTTCAGTCAGTGAGAGCTGCTTGGTACTGAGCATTTCCTTTTTGGCATTCAAGCCATTTACCTAGGCATATACATAAAAGTGCTGGAAGGCTCCTGTTTTTCTGAATGTTTGCCACAGGTAGTTTTTCAAGATGGTGAGACATCCTGGTTGAAACAATAGTTCAGTGGTTGTAGTTTAGTGATGGATAAAACATAGTGACAGAGGAAGAATATCCTTTGCAGATGTTTGGAAATGGTCTAATGAAATATTTTATCTTTGAATCGTGATGCACTGAACTATTTCAGTTAACTTCCAGAGGATAATACGTGGATTTAGTACTCAGAATGCCTGTTTTCCTGCCGAACATCTTAGTCAATTTTCCTGGGAGCCTCTGAGCTGATGAAGCCAGAGCTCCCAGGTTCCTGAACCCTTGCCACTCACTGAGCTGACTGCTATGAACTTGGAAATTTCCAGACTCTCTCTGAGCAGCTCACCATGTGGGGTGCCAGTGATCTTGGCAACACTAGAAGCCCTGCTATATGATTTCTGTGTGCTACCCAGTGGCTTGCTTCTTAACAACAGCTTCAAAACTGACTGAATTGTTGCGAGTTTGCTAGTTTGAAGCTGGTCAGTGGTGGGTAGCAGCATCATAATCTCAGCATTTTTCAGAATTTCCTGTATCTTCAGCTAGTGACAATGGAGTTGTCGTTTTCTTTGGAAATGCTACGCTGCAGCCTGAAAAGATTCAGGTTGTAATGTAAATAATTTTGGATTTCAAAACTCTTACCAGGTTGAAAGAAATCGTTTCTAGCAAAGGCTATCTGCCTTTTTCTGACCTGCCCAGTCTGGCCACAAATGGAAAAAAGATATCGGGCTTGATAAACCACTGGACGTGATCCAATCCTGTGCTTAGTTTGGAAAGGATATAAACCTTTAACTTGCTTGATATGAAATGCAGGCCCAAGGCTAATGTGAGAACGTGTGGCAGTGAGAACAAGCAGCACAGGCATTTGGAGCATTTTTGAGCCTGCCAAGTATTGATCGGTGAGGGGTGGGAATGAGTAGAGAAGCATTTCAATTTGGCATCCATATGTGACTCTGATGCTGTCACAGTGGATTAGCAGCAATTTCTTTTCCCTCTAGTCCATCCCAGGCTTTTGTCATTGAAGCATCCCCTTTGCCCGTATCTACTTGTTAAAAGACAAAGTGAAAAAAAGATAATAAAAAATTACAGAGCTTGTGCCCCCCAAAAAGCCTGATTATGTTATGCTAGTGTCCTCTGAATGGAGACTGAACGGTAAGGAACCATCACTGCTAAAGACTGTTACAGTAAAAATGTTATAGGGGATTCAAGCTACAATTACTCATTTTGTACAGTCACTTAATTCACTAATGGGGAGAAATGGGGCAACAGTTTAAGAAGGCAAGAGAACTGTCAGAGATTATTAAATCTACTGGGATGATTTGTTTTGGTAGTCTCTCTTGACCCAAGTACATGCTTCAGCTAATGCAGCAGACTTAATGCCTCTGGTAATTAGAGCAAGAAGTGATGGGTCATCATTAGCAACTGCAAATTAAGGGTTCTATTTCATCTGGAAGGCAACATCTTCAACTGGACTTATTTGTTGCCGCTGCAGATCATCTCTGAGGCACGAGTGGTACATTGGACTGACTCATTTGTGTGATTTAGTAGAGGGTTTTTAATATATGCTTACTGTTCCACATGAGTAGTTTTTCTAAATAATTGCCAAACAGAAAAAGCCACAATATTGGACTTCCCCACGCCATTAATACTACTGCTGTTATTTACATGATGTTGGTGATTTTTTTTTTTTATTGTTGTACAGTACACAGTTCAGATTATTTTCATTTATAGGTTTGAAATATATTTGTCACATCTACGAAACTGAAGAGTGAAGAAAGGAAAGCCAGGCAAGCATAGAAAGCATCAGTATTTGGCAGCTTGAGAAGGTACGAGCGCCAATCTAATACCACTCAAGGTATATATTCACAGAATACTTTTGTATGTGTTTCCCAGAGCTGCAGTTGTATTCAATCCTAAGTATTGTCAAAGGCGTCAATGAAGATAATACATCATAGATTCAGTATTTTTGCAGATACTAGGAAATCCCTAAATTCTCGTAGCAGAATACCAATAAGAAAATTAAGACACAGGTACAAAGGAAATTAGCCACAAACTGAACTCCATTACAAGGTGCTATGAGGTGGGAACTGGAATAAAACAAATGGGGGAATGTAGTACAGCTGAATCATTTCAGATGAACTTAGGCAGATCAACAGGCAGGCAACTCTGACTTCAGAAGGCCAAGATACTGAAGTGTGGTTTGAAAATGCTTGAAAGCAGCTGGATAAATCAACGGATGCTTATGAAACAGAATTTGGGAAATTGTCTGTGGTCAGCTAGCTGGATAAGTGATGCTGATAACCTCCTGAGGGACAAAAAAAGAAGGAGCAAAGGTTGCAGTACCCTCAGGAAGAACTGTCTGAGGCTGAGCATCCCTCTCAGATATATGCCCAGACCCCAATGGGGGCTTAAGCCTCTTCCAAAAATGAGGAGAAAGGAAGGGATTCAGAGGTGTCAGAAAGTTCTCAGTGCAGATGGGAATCTCGTTAGAAATAAGTATTCTTGGGGAACGTAAATTTTTTAATTAACAGAGCTCAACAGCTCTTTAGAGGGCTCAGATCCATGATAACTGATGGATTGTGAGCTAACTAGTACTGAAAAGGCCTTTTCTGTTCGCATCTTCATCCCATTGCCTGTCTTCAGCAGGGTGCTTGGTATCTCCATGAAGCAACTGTGAGCTTTTCCCGTCTGTTCAGTCTATGGCTGGCTCTGCCATCAGACTGACACTGGGGAGAGCTGGATGGAAGCACATGGCCCTGGCTGATACTCTGTGAAGACATTCCTGAGGCAGGCCGTGGCCAGCCCTGCTCAGGGAGTAGTAGTTGTCCATTCTCCTTCAAGGAACAAAATACGCATATTGTAGGTGCAAGAAAGCGAGATCTTTCATCTCCCCTTGCTTTCTGATACACATCTGAGATTCTGGGTCTTAAAGTAATGTATGGTAGTGTTAAGGATGTTGTCTTCTATATATACAGCTAGCTGCCTGAGAAGGCAGAAGGGAATTAAAGTTCTAAGGACACACTTTTGATGGAATCTGACCACTGAAAAGGTTCATTCTCCTCTCTTCAACACTCCAGCCTGCCCCTCCAAATCCTTCCTGACCTATTGTTCCACTCGCCTTCTTTCAGATCCTGCCTTTTTTCTGGCTTCCCCAGCAGAGCTCGCGTACACTGAAAGACAGCTAGTAGGCCTTGAAGTGAACAAGGATGAGGTATGGTTCCTTAAACATCAGGGGGCTCATCTTTTTCAGTGCTCAACTCCCATGGAAGCTGGTTTGGGAAGTAAATGCCTACATGTCTTTGTGAAGGAGTCCCCAAGTCCCTCAGCGAAAAGATGAAGACAGGTGCCTGGGAGGCACAGAGAAAGGTTTGATTTGCAGATTCTAGGGAATCAGACATCCTACAGGTATTGGTAATCCATTAATTTACTTAGCGTTTTTCTGTTAATAATGAACATCATGAAGGACAACTCGCAACAAGAGTACCTGCACTGAGGTAGCACCCAGTACCTACCGCAGTGCTGCCTTTTGCCAGCTACTGTAGAGGTAATAAATCAGTCAAGGGATGTCAAAGTTCAGTTTCCAGGGGGAAATAATGATTTTACTCAGGAATGGAGTGTGCCTTCCTTAATAAGGGACACTTAGCAGCATGGGATCTCATCTCTGTACTCTGTCACTCCCTTCCATGTGATGATGTACCGTTTTTTTCTAAAAGCCACCAACCCTCACTGGATCAATGAGGCCTGATCAATTGTTTTTCCCTCTGAATTATCCATATGGGCTTGTTAGCTGAGCTGCTGGCAGAAAACAAGAGGCAGCTTTCTGTCTGTTTACTGTAAAGAAAGCAAAGCAAACTCCAGGAGGGGACAGGCTGCAGGATATTTACTGTCAATACAGCCGGAGAGAGAGAGGAGATATAAGGAGAGGGGAGGAGAGGGGAGCAGAGGCTGCAGACTGCAACTCAAATGAATGATCTGAGTGTAAAAATACCTGTGCAGCTTCAAACGGGCAGTGGGTGGATTGAAGTCAACCAGGGATAGCTGAGAGTGTTTAACAAATGGTTTGGTGAAGGGCTAGTGAAGCAGGGAAGTACTTGTGGCACACGGAATAATAATGGTGTGCATGAGCAGACTGAACCTGCAGTGCAATCTGAAAAGCACTTCCAGATCTGCCCTGAGACAGAGCGGTAGCTGGGGCATTTCCCTGTGCGCCTGCATGCTAGACCCACCATTTAAAAGTAATAAGGTGAATAATAATGATTGAACTTAAGAAATAATAATTGGAGCTAGTTTTCCAAAGCAGCTGGATGTCACCACTGTAACTGAGACCAGAAAAGAAATATTAAAAAATAGGCATAATTCCTTGCTTCTCCCTCTCCTCTTCTTCATCCGCAGCGGAATTAGGTGACCTGATCTTCACAGGACAAGAAGGCTCTGAGCAGCTTGCCCTGAGTGTCCCTCTAATTCCAGAGGCAGGTAAACAAGCGAAGAGTGAATTCACACGTTAAAGAGCAGCGAAGACCATCTTGCCATGAAACCATTCACAGATGAAGATGTAGAAATCTACATCCAGAGCAAGGTAAGGCTGTATCTGTTCAGATTTTCTGTCTCCCACACTAGGTGTTGATTCTGAAGGGTGCCAAACTTGACAGTTAGTTGCTTGCCTGCTGTCTTCATTTCTGAGACAAGACTGGGTGAAGTTTCAGAAGAACTGTATTTCTAATGAGATTTCTAGGTTTTTGTTGCAGAATGTTATCAGGAATCTCAGTTGGTAGCCTAATTTTTCAAGGTGCTTGTACTTGTCTTTAGATATCTTGAATTTTTGCTCCCAATCTGGAATTCCAGATGTGAGACTAGCTGTAATTGCCAGCATTTAAGCTAAGGAAAGGTCCTTGCCTCTCTCCTTCTCCAATGGTCTTGGCTTGACGGAAACAAGGCTGAAACCACACCAGGAGTTACCTCTAAGAAAGATGCATATAGGAACTAGAAAGAGAGGTAGATATTGTTAGCATTCACCCATTTGTCTGTCACCTCAGTTAAGGATACTTCTCTATACACCACAATTAAAATAACATGCCTTATTAGCACATGCAGGTTTGAACCACGTTTCTATTTTATGAAACATTCCAGCACTCTATTTTTTCCACATTATGAAATGAAGTAAACAATGATGAAATGGTGATAGTCTGCTTTCCCCAACAAAACACAAGGCACTAAAGTGAAAAATAATTTCAGAATGGAAAACTGTAAGGCTTTCTTTTCTGTAAAGGATGAAATATTCTTGTACCTTGAAGGGGCTGGTAAGAAAGATTTGTTTTCTCTATGGAAATGTTTTGATGACAAGTAGGTGTCTTTCTGTGAGAACTTTCATTGTCAGCCATGCAGTGTTGTGCACTGGAAAATCATTCCATGAGAATCTGTTCAGTGAGCTGTAAGAGTGAACACTTCTCTGAAGGTTTATAAAGCAGAGCTACAAAGGAGAGAACAGAGGGAAGTCATGCACAGGAAGATGCTCATATGACTGCCGTAAGTACAAGGAACAGAAGCAGAGTGTAGTTAAGTGAGGCTTATAGTTGCCAATATTTTAGGTTCTACTGAAAGTCTGTTTTCTAGCAGCCTTCCATGGCTGGGTTCCTGGTTTCTGCCTGCTCTGGAGTCTTCTGTCCAAGTGAGGCTGCCTAACCTTCAGGCAGCCCCAGTTCAGCTTGTCAGATGCTGCCTGTTTTTGAAAATAGGTCAACCACCTGGTGCAATGAATCTCTGTGATACCAAAGATTTCTTCCTTAAGCCACTCAGCAAAGGAAAAGCTCAAGTGCATATGGAGTGGATTTAACTGCGTATATAAGAACAAACCCAAATGTTCTTAACAATCCCCAGTAAATCTCAGTCCTGTTTCCTTCCTCCATAATAAAACCGTAATTGACTTTGTTGTTCTGATTTTGTGCATTTGCTTTGGCATGATTTCCAAAGTTAAGTCATGGTGAGGGGGATGTCAGTAGGTGGCAGAAGTGGTTGTCCAACAAAGAGCTTATTCTGTCTTTTTTCACAACATGTCCATGCTGGTGCTAAAGACATATTAGATATTTATTGCCTTGGCTCTTCAGAAGCTGCATTCACTCTCTCAGAAAGAGATGTTTAGTGGTACCTCCCTTAATATTTTTTTGGAGAGTCTATATTCCCTTAAAGGTGTCATGACAACTGCTGTAGCCTAGCAAGTAGGTGATGAAGGCATAGTTAAATGAGGCCAGGCTGGGTTGGATGGATTCTCCCAGGACACTGGAGGTGGTAGAAAGTGTTTCTAGCAGATGCCCCTCACAGAGAACATAGCATGAGCAATACGTACAGAGGCACTCTTAGATCGCCATTTGAGCTGAGCCACAATGATTGTATACTTTCAGTAGAAAAAGTCTGGGGTTTGTGTCTAAAAGATCTTACAGGTGGGCAGCTTTCTCTACCACTCATGCTTGTTGGTGAAACCATTAGGAGTCTTGTTGAGCAAGTCAAGCTTGTTGAACTGCTGTGAGTTCTTCTGGATGAGCAAAAACATGGCAGAGAAAATAGCTATAGCTACAGATGGAGAAGTGCCATAAATGAAAGCTGGGATGAGGAGGTGAAAACGAGCATGGGCTAAAAAATTTCAGTATAGATTTTCTTTTTAAAAAAAAAAGTGCATGTAAACTAGATAAAACTAGTCTCAGGAGACAAGGATGAACTGGAATGAGGAGGAGAGTGAATTTCTATGGAAATTAAAGGGTATTATATAAACATCAGGGACTACGTTAACATAGCAAAGAATCAGGATGTCAACGTTAGATGAGAGCCCAGGAAAGGCAGTAAAATACTACTGTCTGATATATTTTCCACTTGCAAAAACTATTCAAACTCAGTAAAATACCCTTGTCTTGGTTGGCTGGGGGGGAAGTATTCAAACTCTGCTTGTCTTCAAGTTCAGTGTGACTCAATTGCTATTCATCAATTAATTGATCTTAGGCAAGCACTAGTCCTTTTTAGTCCATTGTGCGGCCCTGTTGTTGTGAAGAAGTGAATCTATTTGTCACCTCCCGGGGCCGGGGAGACATTGCAACTTGAGTGTTTTGTCGGACAGTTCAAAGTTTGAAACAAAGGTGTCCAAATGGACTTTTAAGTGCTTCTTAGTGGTATTTTCTAAAAGGGAGAAGAGTGTTTTTTAGATGTTGAAGAAGATAGAAAGAAGACACAGGAGTTGAGAACAGAATCACACAATGGGTTTGTTTGGAAGGGACCTTTAAATATCACTTAGTCCAACCTCCCTGCTGTTAGTAGTGACATCTTTCCTTAGATCAGGTTACTCAAACCCCTGTCCAACCTGACTTTGAACGCTTCCAGGGATGGGGCATCCTCAACTTCTCTGGGACACGTGTTCCAGTGTCTCACCATCCTCATTGTAAAAAAATTCTTCCTTATGCTTTTGTTTCCTTTTGCTTTGGTCTTTGATAATAACAAAAGACTACAGCAATTATGTTTGACTGTAGCAATTATGCTTGATTATTCACTTCAACCAAGCTGTTAATGATCTAACACTCTTGTTTCATACTTGCAAATAGCTCAACTTAGTTGCAAATAGCAATAATAAATAGCAATTTAGTTCTAGCTTCAGGTGTGTTTTCATTTTCTGGTCTAGGTCTTTCAAAGTTCCTATCTGTTTCTGAATTTTTTTCTTGCCTGCAAACAATGACATTTAGTAGAATATGGTATGGAAAAAGAATAACCAAGAAGAAAAAAAAAAACACAACAAGACAAAAATAAAGCAAAAATTTCAACCAAATGAGATAAAGCATTAGGATTCAAAAAATGACAGTCTTTATATCTCACTCTGCATAGGTAATTCTGGATGAATAAGTAATAAGGAATATGTTCATTAACAATAGCTGAATCTCCTCACTTTGGTAAATGTGTAAGGATATTTGGGAAATATTTAAATGCCCTTTACTAACATGATTCTTTTATGTTCCTCCTGTTGAATCTCCTTGTTCAGATTTTGACCATCTCCTTATGCTCCATTCATTTTTAATCATACGTGAAGGTTCAGGCTCATCTTTTGTTCTTCTGAGTCATCAGTCCTTCCAAGACTCAGACCTTCCACTGAAATAATTTTCAATAAAGAAATCACTACTACTACTTGAATTGAAGAACTGTTCATCAAGTCACACCAACACCTAGTCCCCAGTGGGACCAGGTTTGGAAAGATACTTGCTCACCATCTAGGAGTAGACCCTCATCTGTACTTCAGATATGAAGACAGTTTGGATACTTTCAACATATAATGTAGGCATCTAAACGCTGCCACATACACCAGCAACCTGAGTAATCCACAGAGTATCTGTAATTCTTGAAGTCTTCTCAGCTCATGGAATGAAAGTTCCTGGCTATGAGAATGGCTGGTGTATGGAGGGGAAGAGCTGGGTTTTCTGCATCAAATGGATAAAGAATGAGACTGTGGCCAGTTGATAGCAAATTTATCTGTGTAATGACTCTTTCCCTTCCATCCAATGGTATTGGCATGGAAATATTAATGCTTGGCAGTCTTGAGTATGGCCCTTCGGTGTTTACCAGCTCTGTCTCGTGGTAAGTTGGTTGTAACCCACAAGGAATGATATGTTTTATTCCCAGCACAGCACAGGGGCAAGTGTTTCAGGATGCTTTAAGTTGATTCTCTGTTTCCTGATGAAGACAAAGACTGCAGTTACCTGTAATATGAAGTGTCTTTCTTGGAACTGACAGGTGGAACAGCGACAATGTCTGGTTTCCAAAGCAGTGGAGGAGGTGCAGAAAATCATCCAGCAACTGACTGCAGAGATCAGCTATAAAGCTACACGATTCCAGGCTATCTCCAACTCTGGCATTCACAATGAGAATATTAAGGTACGTACAAGAGTTCTCATATACTCTCTGGCAGCTCGTAGGCAATCAGTAAGTGATTTCTCTATTGTGTAAGTGTTTGTTTGGACAGGTACCTCACCCAAAACCCCACAGACAATGCATTGACATTTCACTGTGGAAGTTCTAGTGACTGACTGGGTCACAGGGACTTACTCATGGACATCTTACAACTAGAGGAGCATCAGAGAGGGCCGGGTAAATCAGGCAGAGCCTCTTTTTACAACTGCTGCTTTTACAAAGAGTGTCTGTTGCCAGAGCTGTCAATCTGCAGGCAGAAGTCAAAGCTCTTTGGGAGACAGAAAGCAAAACTTGTACAGCACTAGCATAAGAAGAAAAAGATGCTCATGCCTTCATGAGCTATGACTCATATTTTTCACAGGTGGAAAACCTGTCAACTCACTTAAAAAATCTTTCTTCTGCTATGAACATTAGAAAGCTCCTTCAGAAAAATATGGTTTTTCTTGGTCATGGATTGGAACTTCTTTTTTACTGGGGAAAAAAGTATTAGTGGGAGATTAGTGGGAGAAGTTAAATGTCTCCCCATTTTAAACCATCAAATACCAAAATATTAATGTCCTGTTCCAGCTGTGGACAAGATTAGTTATTTCCTGTGACTACTTAACACAAGAAAACTAGTGTAGGGATATAAGGACTAATCATAGCAATGGCAACTTCAGATGAAAATGGTCTCTTTCATCTGAACTAGTTTACATACTCCTAGCTATGTAAACTCTTATATTAAAATGCAGCCAGTTATGGATCAAAACACAGCAAACATATAAAAGCATGAGGCAACTTTTGCAGCTGTCTGGTCTTGAAAGGGAAGAACTATGTGTGTATCAAGCTGCTGGAAGGGTATGGAGGTGGAGGTAGAATATAATCATCCAGTCTGACGTGCTCTGGGGACAAACATTCAGATTTATATCTTTTCTGGAATTTTGCCTATCCCAGGGCATGTGGCCTTGCTGGTAGGAATGACCACAGTGACGTAAAATGGTGCCACATCCTGGTCTGTGTGTGTTCCTTAGTGCCACAGAATGCCATCCACCTCTCATGCTGGAACAAACCTGTCCAGTGTCAGGGCAAAACTGTTGTTCTGGAGAACAAAGCAGAACAAAACCAAGGCAATCTGTTCTGAACAGTAATTTGGTATTACAGTAGGCTGATCTGAACAAGCTCTGCTTAAAAGGAATCCCCAAGATTTATTTTCTTAAAAAGTAGCAGAACTGTTATTCATTCTTAACTGAAAACAGTGCTATAAGTCTGTGATAGTCACACTAAGGCGGCCTGGGTAACTGTTCTGTAGGTATGGGGCAGCAAAGAATGGGTTAATAAGAAATTTTTTTTTTTGGCTTGGGCTGTTCTACTTCCAAAAAAATAGAATCTTTAAAACCACTGTTGACATAAATCAACATAGAGGAGACTCGCATCAAGGGAAAGTCAATGTATTTACTATTCTGTGTTTAATTTTGCGACATTTTTTTCCTGTGAATTAAATTTACAGGAACTTCTCAGAACTTTCAGCTTCTGATTCAACATGGTGAGGGGTCCAGATTTGTTGCGAAGCTACAAGCCTCCTCCTAAATATGCAGGGCTGGGTGGGGAATATAGAAGAAAAGTCCTGAGATACGTAATGTTTTTCTGCAACCCAGGAGACAAGAAGTCAAAATCTTTAATATAAAAATTGAGATAAAATTCAGACGGACGGATATTTTATTTTTAAAACTTGTAAATGTCTATTCTAGTTTTGGCCCACCCTTTTTGCAGCTGTCAGCTGTGCAGGGCTGATGCAAAGGCTGTGGAGGCTTCAGTAAGGTGTAATGAGCAGATCAGCATACTGAGTAATTGCCAGAACAGCACTGCCCAATGGCATTCCCAGGTGTTTTAATTGGAATCGTGGGGTGGGGAGGGATTTCCCTTTAATAAACAGGCTAAAAGGAAGCTTGCAGCTTTGCTCTGCGAACGGATGACCTGGCACGTGCTTTCTCTCTGTTCTGGGTGCTTCTTGTTTTCCTTTCTGCTTCTCTCAGGATCAGCCAGCTTTACTGGCCAAGTGGTCAGCTATGCTTCGGGGGAAGCGCCCGTTCCACCCATCCATCCAGGTACAAAGCCTTTCTGCCACCTGGTGCCTGCTGGTCTGTGTGCCTGCTTCCTCCTCGTCTACCCTCTTCTTTAGACAACTGCACTCCCCCACCCACCCAACCCATCCTCCCGTGACTGTTTCATCCTCTCTGCAAAAGACTTGCTTTTTTGCTCACAGCATAAATATTTCATTTCTAACCTGCTGTTTCTGCCTCCCTGGGGTATCCTGGCGAGGATCGCAAAAATGAGTCTGTATTTAATTTGCCCAGCACACTGCAGGCAGGCTTTTCATATAGAAGAATTGGCCGTAAGTTACACATCCCAGAATTCGAGGCTTTTATTAAATAGCCTGGGACTTGCTGGAGCCCGTGGTCTGCATACAGCACCTAAGATCATCGTGTGACAGAGCATAGGTGTGGGGACTGGGATTTGTTTAGGCCAAGAGGACACCAGCTGCCCAGCTTTACAGTGCCATCCCCAGGGTTGTGATTTCTGCTGTTTTCTGGGAAGCCCCAGGTAGGGAAGCCTTGTGGTTGGTATTTGAAGGCCCTTGTATAACACCTGTAGCTCTCCCCTTTAAATCTGCTGGATGCCAGTGTGTACAAGGCAGCGTCTTGGTATGGGAAGGAAAGGTTATTTATCTGCAAACGTGGCCGAGGCAGTGAGATGAGCAGTAACTGTATGACAGCCATTGTATTTTTCCTCAAGGAGCCTAGCACTTCCTTCCTGAGCTGCTCACAAGGCTTCTCAGCCCCAGCAAACCTGAGCTGTGCACGTCAGCTTGGTCTGCAATGTCGTCCTTCCAGTGTTCTCCTGCCTTTAGGTGGTTTGTGTTTGACAAAAGAAGGGCCATTTCTGTGCTTCTTGCTGGCCGCCTTTTGTATTTCAAATCTCTTGCCAGGGAGCAGGGTAGACCAGCTGCTCCCCATGGGAGAGGGAACCAGGAGATGAGCATGACAGCACAACAATGCCTCCTCCATGTCCCCAAGTACAGCAGACCTAGGGAGGGCAGCTGGGGTCAGCTGAGAGTCTGGATCATCAGGCAAGTCTGAGGTCAAGCCAGGAGCACTCATCTGGGGTCACGTCAGGATCAGGCCCAACAATGGTAACCAGGGTCAGGTGCAGCCTCTTGACTGTCAGGCAAGTCCATAGTGGTCAGGTAGGTCTGAGGTCAGGCTGGGAAGGCAGTCTGCAGGTAGGACAACAAGGTCTACGGCCAGTCACAGACATAGCTGTCACACAGTTGGAGACCAGCATTAAAGGGGGGGGGAGTCAGGCTCATGGGCAGAAGGTATGGGTAGAAGTCCCATTAAAGCTTGTTAGTGCCCTCAGGGCTCCTGCACCTTTGCAGTAATACTTTTAAATCCCCTGAGCTACCAGGAGGGATACCAGAATGTTTTGGATTAGTACAGGAGAGTGACAAGCGTGTTTTGTTCACCTCGGGTGTACCCACCTTGCAACAACTGTCACTTCGCCTTATTAATGCCAGTGCAAGTTAGTCTTGGTAGCAAGTGGAGTTGAAAAGCTTCCGAGTCAACACAGTGAAAGTCTGAAGGAGATTGAACACCCTCTCTTGAGCCATGATCACCAAATGCTTCCAAGCTACTGTTTGGAGAGATGTCTGGCTGTGTCCTGGGCTGGTATGAGGTTTTGTGGTATTTGTGTCACCTTATTCACTCTTTGCAAATGCTGGTTCAGCACTGGTTTTGTTGGGAAATGGTCATTCCCAAAGTGGGGCCAATTCCTTGGCTTGCAACCGAGCCTGTTTGAGGGTTTGTTGTCCATCGGTTACCGTTTCCATCCTTACCCTGTTTCTGGCTTCGTCTCAGCGGGAGATGCTGGTTCATACAGCACAGCTGGCCAAGACCAGGGTTTATTTCTGAGACTGCCACTGCCTGTGTAGGCTCAGGCGTGTCACTTGACTCGTGCCTCTGTCTCTTAAAGGTCAGACATGCAGACTGAAACACTTGTAAAATGAATGGGCCGTAGCCTTATTTTACTAATGCCCCATAGCGGACTTGAAAGTGGTCAGAGAGTACACTTTTTGCCATAGTTATTACTACTATTGAACACTAGGCTTATCCCTAGTAACAATGCTGAGGTAATAACTTTCACTATTTTGCTTCCTTTTGCTGGGTCTCAAAACATGCTCTCTCATATTTTCCTGCTTCTTGGAAGCTGCTAGTTATTACATCTCCATGCAGTTACAGTTAGAAGTAACAAGGGAGAGGGGAAACCATGGCAGGTGTGGTGGCAAATCAGTCAGTGTGCTCTTGTCTTCTATAGGCCGTGGCTGTCACATCAGACTCCTTCCAAGACAGTTTCCTTTTAGTTTGTGTACCTTCAAAGTAACCCTCAGACATGCATGAAACAGGTCCTGGCTGTGTTCAGTAGCTCCCATCATACCATGGCTTTTCCTTCACTCCAAAACCCACAGTTTTACCTATTACTTCCTTAACCCTCTTTTCCTCACTTCAGGCTCATGGATCTGCCGTGTCTCCTCTCTCAATCTCTCTGCACTCTCCTAGGTCTTAGCACCCAGCCAATTCCTCATCACAGTCCCTCTGCGTGGCCTGACTGGGTACAGGGAATGCCAGGTACGGCACTGGCGTTATTACACCGTGCATGGAGCCAAGCTCCTGTCCTCCGTGCGGGACCCTGAGGAATTGCATCAATGGCTAGAGGTGGAGCAGTTCTCAAAAAGCCTTCAGCAGTGGCATGAAAAAGATGTGAACATCGAAGGTGATCTGGTTCCAGCCAAAGTCCTTATCGTCTTCCGGGAGCTGGTGGAGAAGTCGATTATCTCCTGTAACCTCTCCAGTGAGTTTAGTGGGGACAGGTATAAGGGGAACTGGCTGTCTTCTGCAGCTGATAGAGGGAAACCATCACACATACAAAATATTTGTTTGGCTCACATGATCAGAAGTTAAAAAACAAAAAAACCTCCAAAATTAGGGAGCATTTAGCCCTCTGCAGTGATGTGTGTAGACCTGCATTGAAGATAGAATTAAGTAGTTCTTGGGTTCCTCATACCCAAGATGCTGTTCCTTTCTTAGGAATTTGGGTAGGGTCTCCAGCAGCATCCCCCTCACAGTTCAATCAAGATGCAACTCAGATTTTCAGAACATTTAGGAATTTGTTTGGGAAAAACCTTTTTCTACTACAGCATCAGCAATATACCGAGACTATTAAGGAAGATAGTATAGGAAAATTGGATATAGGGAAGGTGCATAAGTCAGAGGAGAAAGTGCTTAAAGACATGTATTGGGCAGATAATGCTCTGAGGAAACCTTAGCTACCCGTAGATTTCCAGCATGGGATGGTGGGAACTAAGTAGAAGGACTTCTACTCAAGTGAAGTCTGTTGGACAAGTGCTCTTTTCCCCAGTGTCCAGGCTACTCCAGTCCTATTCAGGAGAACTAGATTCAGGAAGTTTGCTTTTGGTAGTGGTGCTGATCCCTCTGTGAGCAATCCAAAGTGCCGGTTTATTTCCTGTGGCTATTTATACTGGAAATGCTGATCACTGACATAACTCAATCAGTGGTGCGTGCAACGTGCCTTCATAGCTGCAACATCTTTAGCAAGATGCTGACTGAATAGTGATCTTCATGCTTAATTGTTAACATCCTAGAGGCGTGTTATAGACTTCAGGTAATGAACACTTGGCTTGGTCCAAGCTAAATAGTCTATGTCCATCTCTTCACATTAAGATACTGTAACATGATCAAATCCAGACTCTGGTGCCTCTTCTCATAGCATGTTTCCAAGATGACTTTATTCGTCAGCAGCATGTTATGGGTCTTCTATATTCCAGAGGAATAGGAGCCATTTCCACTCATCTGATTGCCCTCTGAATGAAATAAAACATGTTAAAGTCAAACTCAGCTAGATCATTGCATTCTTCCAGGAAATATTTGCTGTCATAGAAATGGAAAGGCTGATGGAAATGAAATTTCACTATTGAAAGACCAGATGGAATGGGGCTTGCACCTGAAAGTTTGCTTATGTGAAAGTCATTGTGTTGAAGTGAAAACCTGCCATTGTGTCTAGCAGCAGTACGTCAAGTTGTTGAGCCAGGAGAGGTGTTTCCAAGGGATCCAGGGAGTGATGTTTGGGCTGATGATTCTGATGACTTTTTTGTAAGGCCAGCTGGGAGGAGATTGATGCAGAGGGCATGAGCTAAGATGAAGTCAGGGGAAGTAATTACCATTCTTGTTCATTTCTGTGAAGAATGAACTTCCTTCATCCCACAGTGCAGCTAAAGTCACAGAAAAAAATCCCTGATTTCATTCCTTCCCTATTTTTTAATTCTTTGAGCACCAGCAAAACCAGATTTTTTTGAGGTGTCTCAATATTCATTGGTGGAAAAATCGGTAGTACAATTGTGATATTTTTGGAAATGCTATGAATGTGTTTACGTGCTGACACTGCTGTTGCTCTAATGCTTTTCAGCTGCTAGGGATCCCTGCTGAGGGCCTGGGAGCAGTACAGTTCCTGGTTTGGTGCCAGGCTTGGCTCAGCAGGGAAATAACATGGCAGATTTTACTAAGAGTTATAAACTTCTGGTTGGGATGGACTCCACTATTCGCAAGGTAATGCACCCCAGTGCTTCCTGGAGGAGATGCTAAATTACCACTGGGAGTAGCAAAGTATTTCCTCTTCGGGGGCAGAGTATGTTCATCACTGCCCCTTCAAGTCTGTTGCGTGGGCTCCTTGTGGAATTGCTCCTTATCCCATGCCAGTCAAGATGAGGTGGGTTAACACGCTACTGTAACCTACTTACTGCAATCTGCTCTGTCTTTTACTTCAGTGGGTTAGAGCGTGATCATGCAATTGGCTCAGCTGGCAAAGTTGAAGGGACAGTGATCCTGCCAGAGTGATAGGGGAAACTGAGGGCAGAAACTTCTTCCATGGATGCAGTTGGACCAACAGGAAACATCTCACTGAGTCCATTAGTTGCAGCTTTCATTCCTTTCTGCTCTCTTAGAGCGTGTTGTTCCTGGAGATGAGCCACTCTTCTTTCACCAAGGAAACTTGCCTCCAAATCACCACGGAACTCTTTTTGATGCTCAGCAGCCCCAGTGAGGCAAGCAGTTAGCCCTTTTTGTACGACTGCTCTGCACAACAGGCCATAAATTCTGGCATTGTCTCCTGTGCAAGTGCATCTCCAGGAACAAAACTTATGGATACCCCAGAAAACATTCTGAATGACCAGCAAGGGTAAGTCTTTTGGTCTCATCACAGATTCTCTGAAGGAATAAGCAGATCCTTAGATATGAAGTGTTCATCTGGTCCCTTCTAATCTGCAGTGATGTCCTTGTTGTACTGTACCATTAAAAATGTTAGGTTGCACCAGCTGTCTGTATTTTTAAGAAGCTGCCCCTAGGATTTAAGAGGACCTAAAGAGGAAAACAAAAGCATGATAATTGAGTGTAAAATTGAGAACTTCATCTTCTTCCTATTCTTGTTCCCCAGATGATAAGGTTTTTTTCCTTTTATTCTGCTTATGGCACTGAAGAGAAAGTGTTAAGACACTACAATAGATCTGCAAGGCCCTAGACAGCCCTTTACTTGGCTTGTGGAGAAAGTCCTTTTCTTCCTTATTATCTTCTCCTGTTGTTCCTTCACAGGTAAAGTGACAGTGCTGGAGAGCTTCAGCTCAGTGGTCCGGGTGGCTGTGGAGACATCAGAAACCCAGGTTGAGGTGGAGCTGGTCCCTGCTGTGGAGATTCCAACTTGCTGGCCCGAGAAAGCCAGATGGCCTCGTTGCCTTAAGCGTTGGCCTTCCCAGGAAAAAGTGCAGTGCATCAAGGTGAACAGTGTAAAAAATACTACTAATTCTGAACTGAAATTTATTTTGCGGGTTTCTGACAGTGGTTTCCCAGTTGAAGGACTGCATGGTGAAGGCAGGCTACAGCATGGTTGGAACAGCATGGTATCGCTTCTCTAGAGAAGCAATTTTTCAAAGTATTCTGGCAGATTTTATTGGGATTTTTTCCCCTATATGGTGATGAATTCTATGGAAGTAAAACCGAGTTTGCTGTTTATTGCACAAGTTTCTTGCACACAGCTCTGCCTGTGTAGGCTCAGTCCTGATCCACATCATTCTTGCTGTTCTGCTCTGCCTCATGTAAACCTTCTGCACGTGGGCCACTGTCTTCTGATTTTCCCTCCAGCCTAACCCCGTCTTTCCCTACAAAGCTCATGGCTTCATGGCTGGATTCTGGCACTTCAGCTTAGCCCCAGCTGCCATGTTCCTGCAGGTCCAGTTACGCCTTCCAGTCCTGCTCCCCTCTCACGTACAACCTGCTGCTTCATGGCAAGGTCCCTGCAGAATTGTGCCTCTGCTTTAGTAGCACTGCTGGTACTGCACGTGGTAGATCTAGAGCTAGATCTTCTGGAAGTAATTGATGTCAGCTCATGAGGAAACAGACCAAATTGCATAGTCATTTGACTAGGACTTAGGGTGGGAGCATGACCCACGTTTGCTGCCTTAGCTAACCCTGTTTAGAATACAGTGCCCCACTTTGAGAGATGTCACATATCCTTTCTGTAACATCCCTCTGCATTACTCAGAGAAGTTTGCCTCTGATGTAGTATCATACTTCCCTTTTTGACCACAGTCACTTGGTTTCGACCTTTTGGCCCGCTCCAATTATCACTGGCAGCTGTGCTTCTCCCGTGCTGAGCATATACTCATGGAAGGCCTCGATGAAGATGGTGGTTGTCGCATGAAGTGCTTCAGGGTCATGAGGCAGATGAAGGAAGATGTCTGGTGTGCTGGAAATAAGCCTGTCATCACAGCTTATCACCTTCAGGTAGGCATCACCATGATACCAAGATACAGTCTCAGAATCTGTTGCAGGAGCTTCTATCCAGTGATGTCAAAATACCATGACATAAATCACTGTAGTTTCTCCTATGTAACTTCTAACGTAACTCTCAGAACTACAGCACTGTTTCATTGCTTCACAGCAGCATGAAATTCAGTAAATATAAGTTCCAAACTTCAACAAGAAACTAAAGTCTGTAGGAATATTATGATTGCAGCAACACAACATAAATAACGTTAGAGACGAAGCTCCTGCTCTGTTGTGACTTCATATAGGCATTGTAATGTTGTCTTTTATTGCACTGTTACTTCCTGCTTCTTGACTATCCCAGACATCCATATCCATCTGTCTGGTGGAAAATTGTGCTTTTGTCTTTCTGGATGTGCACCAAACAAAATTCTCTTCAGTGAGCATGAATGAGGTGCAAACTGACTTGTTCTGGTGGTGTTTTACTTGGCGTACGAAAGGAAGAAAGAGGTAAAGGGGTGGTAATGTCCTCCCTGCACATAATTCAGGGTTCAAGATGGCTTCACTTTACAAACAACATTTGTGAAGAAGAGACAGAAAGTTCCGCTATGACTGTGTCGCTACACCCGAGACATTGATGGACCACAGGCAGAACCATTTATCAGACAGTAGAGCAATTCTGTTTTCTGGACCTCCATCCTCTTGGTATTGCCAGGGATGGGCTGTTCTTCTCTCACTTTGAAGACCTAATCCACCAGAATTCCACAATAGTTACTGATCTTTTGGTGTCCAAAACCATATGTGATGCCAGGATTTCTCCTAAAGAAAAGGTTGTGACCATCAAATCTGTTATAGTCATGGGACTAATCTAAGTCAAGATATTGTCAAAAAAAGAGTTGATGAGTCTGGTTATAGCTTAGCAAAATGCAAAACTTCTCAATGCCTCTAAGAAGAAACGGTGGAAAAACTGTCATAGATAGGAAAACCATTTTCCTATCTAGTGGAAAAACTATCATAGATAGGAAAACCATTTTCCTATCTAGTGGAAAACCATTTAACCATCAGTAATGATCGCTTGTGCTGGCTCAGGGAGAAGAGGTGCAGGAAGTGCTGTTGCATGGACTCTTGATCCAAATAAAAAGCCCTTTAGAAGCTCTTCAGTTCTTTACTGTAACCATACCTCAGGCTTTTACTGCAAGAGAGGATTGGTTTACCAGACAGAAGGAATGCTTCAACATTACTTACATTAAAAAAAAAAAAAAAAAAAAAGAGGGAAACAGCGGAGAAACTAGCAGCTGAGCAGAGGCTTAGTGTTAGGTTTCTTCACATTATTATGTTTCCACTGTTTAAAGCATCCAACAACTATTATTAAACAAGACTGCACACAAAAAAGTCCCTCTATGACACAGGAAATCCTCCCCCAAGAAGTTGTGAAAGCCTCAAAGGGATGAGTAGATGTACTCATTATGTTTACCTCCATAGGATGAAGTTCAAGATCAGAAAGTTCGGCAAAAGACAGCAAGAGCAGCATATTTTTCCTTTTCTCCAGAAACTTCATTGCAAGTGGGCCCATGGATCTTGCTGAAGTAGTTTTAGTGTGACAAAAGATAACTTCTCTGCAAGTCTCCAAGGAGTAGCTCTTGCAGAGTTACAGCTTCAATTCCTCACTATGCCTTTTTTTTTTCCTCTGGCAACATTAAAAAAAAGTCTTTCTGGTTATTGCAGCTGTGAACAAAAAAAACTGTTCACATTTGAAAAGCTGTCTGAGAATAAATTCCTCAGCACTGCAACTATTACAATGCCTACTAGAGGGAAAAAAAAACAAACAACAAACCCAAACCAAAACAGGCAGTCCAGAATAGTGTGGCTTATTTGAAGAACTTCTATCTCTGAAGAAACAGAGAAGTTAAAGGCTGTAGTTTGGCCACATCTCACAGCATCCCTGGGTCGCTTTTTGGGTTGCTGAATCTGCAAAATAAAGTTGGGATTCTGAGGAAAATAAGGAACTTAGCAGAATTACTGAATCCAGGATGGATGATTTTGTACTTTTAAAACAGATTTGGGGTTGACCAAGGCAGTCAGTATGGCTTTTTTGGTAGACTAAGTGTAAGTACCTCCAGAAAATTCTTCTCAGTCATAGGGAAGTTTGTAAAAATGCAACATGGGCACCATAAAAATAATACAATAAGAGCAATAATCATATGCATTTTGTTATTATAACCATGGATTTCTCAAATGTAAAATAACATAAAATAAACTTAGGGGACTAGAACATAGTGCATGCTTTTAGTATCATGTATCAGGAAAACACAAGCTGCACTTACCAGAAAGCCTGCCCTGCACCTGCAAAAGTTGCTTGGAAAAATCTGTTTGGGATGCAGATGTGTGTGCATCTGCAGTACAAATACACCTGAACCTAACGAATAATTACATTAATCTGGTTATTCTTCTCTCCCTCTTTGCACCTACTGGCTTCTACACTTGTATAATAGGCCATTTTCTACAGCCTAAAATGTCTGGCATTTCTCCAGGGGCTGCTGCTTAAGGATGGCAGATAGAATCAGAGAATGGTTAGGGTTGGAAGGGACCTCAAAGATCATCGAGTTCCAACCCCCCTGCCATGGGCAGGGACACCTCCCACTAGAGCAGGTTGCTCAAGGCCACATCCAGCCTGGCCTTGAACACTTCCAGAGATGGGGCATCCACAACTTCCCTGGGAAACCTGTTCCAGTGTCTTGCCACCCTCACAGTAAAAAATTTCTTCCTGAGATCTAATCTGAATCTTTTTTCTTCCAATTTAAAACCGTTTCCCCTTGTCCTATCATTACACCTCCTGGCAAAGAGTCCTTCCCCAGCTCTTCTATAGGCACCCTTCAGATATTGAAAGGCCGCTATAAGGTCTCTCCGGAGCCTTCTCTTCTCCAGGCTTATTTTAGCAAGACTGTTTTCCTCAGGCTCCTGGCCCAGTCAATGGAGAAGTGCTCCTCTGGGGGGAGAGATCCTAACCAGGCACGTCGGAGCTGCTCTGCCTGATCCCCAGAGGAGGCTTTAGCTGTGATCCCTCTGTCACAGAAACGTTAACACGGGGAGAGAGCAGCGCAAGTCTCTCCGATTTCCAAGGCTGTCAGCCACTTCCCAGCACTAAAACTGCCTTGGTAAGCTGTGTGAGCCCTCGACAGAACCTCTAACACCTCTTCTCTCCCATCTGCTTCTTGCAGACAGTGCTATTCTGGACGTGTGAAAAATACCCACGCACCAAGGATTGGCGCTGCTTCCCTGAAGCCTTTCTGAGGCTGGTGCAGAAGCTGCACAAGTGTGTAAGCCAGCACTTCCTCAAGCATTACTTTGTTAAGAACACCAATCTGCTCAAATATGCCAACACCAGTGACCTGGACTTGGTGGCCAGCAAGCTCGCGGTCTTCTTGGAGAACCCTGTCTTCTGCCTGGACTAAGGCAGGAAAAGGCCTCCTCACCCCAAGCCTGAGCAGATCCCTCGCCTCCTCTCCCCACCTGCGGTTGTTCTTCGTGTCCTTCCAGTACATGTTGCAGCTGGCTTTGTAAGACAGTTGGCACATGCAGCGTGAAAGAGAAGTGTCAAGCTGGCAGCAGTGGGCGGTGAAAACTGATGGGAGGTATTGCTTGATGCCCAGCTGATCTAATTTGCTTTCAACAGTGACAGCCTGCCTGGAAGCTCCAGCCAGTGAAACCCAACTTTCTGTGTCAGTCAGAGCAGGAAACTGCCTTGTTCTCTGCCTCTAATCTTGTGACACCTAAGCAGAGCGATGGTGCAGAGAAGTCTGGCTCTGCTGCCTACCCGCTGTGTAACCTAGCACCTGTATTGTTGCTGCCTCCCCCTTTCTCACAAGGACAGTGGGTTTGATTCCCTGCTTGCCTCCTCACAGGCCAGCTCTGCAGAAGAGCAGAGGAACCCTTTCTGAAGTGTACTGAAGCTGGAAGCTTCCTCAGAGGCACTTTGATGCCTCCATCTCCAATTAGATGGGATCCTGTTCCAGTACAAAGGTAGCCATGCAGCTAGTGTTGAATAGCTTAAGGGAAGCAAGAGGAGAAATGGTGGGGTTTGCCACCTCTTCATTTTTCTCTCTACTTCCATTTTTCTTCCAGTTGCTTCGAATAAGTTTTCTTCGTGTTTGCCTTTGCCAGTTATGTTAGTGCCATACAAGGAGGGTATTTTGCAAGAGCAGATTTCACTCCCACCCCTGGCTCCATCCAGCAGGCTGGAGGAGGAGCAGGTCTTTCCCTAGTTGTTTGCACCCACATATTTTTGGGTGGTGTACAGAGGGAGAGTATTTTTTCAAAGGCTGTTAGCTCCAAAACCCCCAGTGCTTTTCATATTATATATGTTTAAATAGAAAATCAGTTTTAGTGTTTCAAAATAACAGAGTTCTAGAATGAGTATAAAGAATGTTGGCTTTGATGTTATTAAATCACTGAAACTAAACCAAAGTGGTTTGTGGGTTGTTTTTTTTTTTCCTTACACCTGCGCAGAAAAGTAAATAAGTATTTCCTTTGCCAAGGGAGGTGGCAGAGAGGATTTGCAGCCCTTACTCCAGGGAGCTGCTGCAGGGGATGGCCTGCGAGATGACCATCCGTGGCAGAGCATCTCCCCCTTGTGTCGAATTATGGTTCAACCGTGCATCTTTAGCACATCCTCTGCTTTCTGCTTTGATTTTGCACAGGGGAGTATGTTCACAAGTCCTTGGGGCCTGATGGGATTCACCCCAAAATACTAAAGGAGGTAGCAGATGTTATGGCAGGGCACCTTTTGATCATCTACCAAAGGTCTTGGGAATCTGGGGAGGTCCCTGCTGCCTGGAAGCCAGTCAGAGTTATTTCAATTTACAAAAAGGGGGTGAGGGAAGACCCGGGGAACTACAGCCCTGTTAGTCTAACCTCATGCCCAGAAAAATTATGGAGAATATTATGCTGGGTACCATTAAAAGGTATTTAAAGAAGAATGCAATCATTGGGCAGAGTCAACATGGGCTCACAAAAGGAACATCCTGTTTAACTGATTTGATATCGCTCTGTGATAAGGTCTGCCTAGTGTAGGAAGGGAAGGCAGTGGGTGTAGTTTTTTCTGGATTTTAGTAAGGCTTTTGCTACTGTCCCTCACAGCATCCTTCTGGGTTCATGATCTGCTGGGTGAAGGGCAGGGCTCAAAGGGTTGTAGTGCATGAGGCTATATCTGGCTGGTGACCAGTCACCAGCGGTGATCCTCAGGGCTCAGTTCTGTTCAATATATTTATCAATGATCTAGATGCAGGAGTTGAATGCACCATTAGCAAGTTTGCTGATGATATCAAACTGGGAGGTGCTGTAGATTGGAGCATTTGGCTGATGATCAATGGGATGAAGTTCAACAAGTCAAAATGCCAGATTCTGCACCTGGGACGGAGTAACACTGGGCACAAGTAGAAATTGGGAGAAGAGGGCTGTAGAACAGCCCTGAAGAAAGGGACCTGGGGGTGGTGGTGGGCAGCAGGCTCAGTAGGATCCAGCAGTGAGCCCTGGAGGCCTCAAGGGGTGCATCAAATGCAGCATCACCAGCCAGTCAAAAGAGGTGATGGTCCCACTGTGTTCAGCTTTGGTGTGGCCTCAGTTGCTGATGATATCAAACTGGGAGGTGCTGTAGATTGGAGCATTTGGCTGATGATCAATGGGATGAAGTTCAACAAGTCAAAATGCCAGATTCTGCACCTGGGACGGAGTAACACTGGGCACAAGTAGAAATTGGGAGAAGAGGGCTGTAGAACAGCCCTGAAGAAAGGGACCTGGGGGTGGTGGTGGGCAGCAGGCTCAGTAGGATCCAGCAGTGAGCCCTGGAGGCCTCAAGGGGTGCATCAAATGCAGCATCACCAGCCAGTCAAAAGAGGTGATGGTCCCACTGTGTTCAGCTTTGGTGTGGCCTCAGCCAGGGTGCTGTGTGCAGGTCTGGGTGCCACAATTTGAGAAGGATGTGAAGATCCTTGCATGTGTCCAGGGGGTAACAAAGCTGGTGAAACAGCTGGAAGGAATGTCCTATGAGGAGCAGTTGAGGACTTTGTACCTGTCTAGTTTGGAGAAAAGGAACCTGAGGGGTGACCTCATTGATCTCTGCAGCTTCCTGAGGAGGGGAAGAGGAAAGGGAGGTGCTGGTCTCTTGTCCCGGAGATCCACTGATAGGACACGTAGCAATGATTCAAAGCTGCACCGGGGGAGGTTTAGACTGGACATTTGGAAGCTATTCTTTACTGAAAGGTTGGTCAAACACTGGAACAGTTTGATTGCTAAACCTTTGTTCTTCAGGCTCATTTCTAAATCACAGAATCACAGAATCTTCTAGGTTGGAAGGGACCTCAAAGATCATCTTGTCCAACCGTCAACCTAACTGACAAAAATAGACGCCCGCACAACAAACAAGAAGCATCATCACTAAACCATACCTCCCAGCACTACATCAACCTGTCTTTTGAACACCTCCAGGGATGGTGCCTCAACCCCCTCCCTGGGCAGCCTGTTCCAATGTCTGATTGCCTTTACAGTAAAAATATTTTTCCTAATACCCAGCGCGAACCTCCCCTGGCGTAATGTGGCACAAGTGGAAGTTTCGTGATGACCCCCCCACCATTAAAGCGTGGCTTTCCAGTTTCCAGCAAACAGAGCTGTCTCGTACAGAGCAAAGAGATGCTAATTTGCAGAGTAAAGGCACCTGTGACTATAAAGTAATGTCTCCTGTTTCATCTTGGTTTTGTCTTGTGGTTGAGGGGCTATCTTCTGAAGTTGGAGGAGGGCAAAAGCAGTTTGAAAAGACAGTGAAAAATGTTCAGGGCTCTTAATCCCAAGTCTGATATTTTAGGGCCGTGATGCGTGATCCATTTGGGACTAGTTGTGGATGTTGAAGAACTTAACTCCCTTTGTAGCCAGGGGGGAAAGTGTTTCAGTAGTGATATCTTAACTTAGCTGCAGCTGTGTATCTAAGTCCTCTGTTGCTGCAGTTCACAGCCTGCTATGGGGTGAAATCGTGGGCGTGCATCAAGGTGCTGCTGCTGCTCTCCCAGGAATGAATCAGCACAGCCAGTAAGTAAGCCCAGAATGATGGACCCCTGCTTTGAGCCAAGTCTGATCAATTTTTTCTCTCTTTTCTTGTTGATACACAGGCAAATGCATATTCTGCTGCAGGAAATATCATCATGACTATATATAAAACTACAGATCTGCCCCAGGAGATCTGTTGCTGCTGACCACAAAGGCACAGAATGATCCCCAGCTTTTTCTTCAGAACAGCAGGACATGACACAGCTGGCCACTAGCAAAGGGAGAGGGAAAACGCTTTGAAAGAACTAATATGTTAATTGAAGTCATTGAATATAAGAAATATTATCCTCAGAGATAGGTTGGGGGCATACTACATATGCTGATTGGGTGTGTAGGTTTTCTGTGAGGCAGTTTTTTGTGGTGATGGGAGAGTTGTGTAGGAGGTCTCTGTTAAAAAACCTTGCCAAATGTACTTCTTGCAGTTCTTATCACAGTAAACTTTCTGCAAATAGCTTTTCACTTACACATCCAGCCTGATTGCAAAATCATATCCTCATCCCAAAGTTTTCCTCAAAAAAAAAAATAATTACATTGTGTTTTGGCTAGAGAATAAGTTTTATTTTTCATATTTTTTATTTTTCTTTAAAAAGGGTAGTATCTTCACAAATGCAAACTTTCTTGAAATACATTAAAATTAATCAAAAACTCTATCTTTGTTCAGAGCATCTGCAACCAGATCTAGTGGGAGGTGTCGCTGCCCATGGCAGGGGTGAGTGGAACAAGATGATCTTTAAGGTCCCTTCCAACCTAAACTATTCTATGATCTGGAAGGAATGTGATGGCGATTTGTTCTCCCTCTCTTTTTAATTGCTTTCATAAATATTTGCTGAGCCGCAAAAGCACTATCAGGGAAAGAAGTAGTACTCTTGACTTTCATAATTTTAGTTTCTTTCTGGTTGGCTGTGGCTTTTTGCTTACAAAAAAGTTTTGCTCAAGTTTTGCTTTCTCACCTTAACTGAACTATTGTCTTTAAAACAAGAAGGGGCAAACAGTGGTCGAAAGGGAACTGTTTTGCATGCATGGGAGGTGCAGCACTCAAGAACAATAGACATTCCCATAAGCAAAAGAGAGAGAAATTAAAATGCATATTTGAGATGAGACATGGGGCGCAATGAGTGCTTACGGAAATCCTCTGCTCAGGAGGCATGAAACAGCGACTATGAGAGAATTTCAGCTGAGTCACGAGTGAACTCTTGACCACTGTTGCCTTTGCTCAAGGTGATGGCACCCAGGCTGAGAGGTAACTGAGGGCGTTTTTCACGGTGTTTGAAAGGTAGCTTGTTGCTAGCTGCTGACTGGGCAGGAGAGGCGTGTGTGATCCTCACTGATGTGCCATGTGCTGGAGCCTTAACTGGGATGAGGGATGCTGAGATGGCTCATGGTGGGTGCTAAGGGCTTCCTTACGGTTGCACGGCATTCTCAGCCCTCACCACAGACACCATTGCTCCATCCATCAGAAACTTCAATTTTAAATGTGTTGCTCTTTTAGAATAGAAAACCTTACAAAACTCACGATGCATTAGTCCTTTTACATTGTCTGCCTTTAAGTCACTAGAGGGCAATGTCTCACCCAGACACGCACACCGATCCAGAATCTGACCTGCTCTTAAAATCAGCATCTTGTTAGTTATTATTGAACTGAGACAAATGAACTCGATTAATTTAATGCTAAATCCCATTGCCAAAAAGGAGAGACGGAAAGAGACCATGGGAGAGCTTTCTAATAAATAGCGAGACTCGGGTAAAAAGTCTCTAAACTCCGGGAACCGCTCCAAGAGTCAGATTATGGATTTATTGCTTTCTGCAGCAAAAGATGGGCTTGCAGTAATTCCCAACAGCCTTTGTTTGGGGAGAGCACCAACAAGCGAAGTGCGGGCAGAGTTCTGGGAAGGAGTGAACTTGCGGGAATAGCCACCACCCTGCTCCACTGGAGCACGTGTCCTGCCTTCTCTCCACGGGGCTGGGCCACAGGCCTGCTGAGAAAGCAACGTGACCATGACTCCCACGTGTACCTACCTCTCGGGCACCTCCGTCTCTTCTTCTCTTTCCACCCCCTTCCCCAACCCCTGAGAGATTTTTCTCTGAGCAGGTTTTCTGGTGCTGCCTACCCCTTTGGCTCTGGTAGGCATGGTCATTTCTGAGTGCACGTCATCTCTCCTTTATGCCACAGGACCCAGGTGTACACGGAGGCCATTACAGATCATCAATCCCCCCCACCTTATGCTTATCTTTAATTTGGAGTGGTGCCCAGCAATGGAGTTAGACTACCATGCAAACCTTCTCTGACGTTAGGAATATCCACAGTGTCAACGGAAATTAAACAGCTCCAGGTAGCGAATGTATTTTAGCCTGTTCTGACCCAAG